TTTGCGAAATAACGCAAACCTTTGCGTTATAACGCAAACCTTTGCAAAATAACGCAAACATTTGCGTAATAACGCAAACATTTGTTTTATCTTAATTCTTATTTAAGATTCAAAGGAAACAGCAGTTATTAATGGAGGAGGCTGTATATATTAAAATTTATCACCTTTGTAGTCATTGCAAAGTAAAATGCTTGAATAATTAGAACATATCATTGACTAATAATGAGAAGAATGATATAAGAAGATGTGGTATGAGTGCCAATAAGAAAACTCTCCATCTAAGTCACTATTCGTAAAAGTAAACCATCATATCCCAAAGTACGGTCTTCAACACGGAGCATTGGCTCACACCAAACAGCAAACTATAAAGGCCCCAAAACGATATCCATGTTACTACTAGTATATATATTACAAAGAAAATTGAGTAAATTGAGGTTATACCGAAGAAAAAAAATCAACCCTGCTAATATAGCTATAACCGAATATAAATATACTTCCAAAGTAAGCTCTCGTTTGAGAACTGTGTAAAGTTGGTTAGATTCAAACAAGCTACCCTTTGGCAATAAATGTATAGAATGAGGATGTTTTATTAATAAAATTATGTTCTCTCCATTCAAATTGATACCCAAGCATCTTAGAAATACTTCACTATATTGAAATGAAAATTCAATGACTTTCTATCAAAGAATCTTTATCATATTCTGAGATTTAAAAAAACGATTTCTTGCATCAAAATTAAAAAAAAAATGTTTCCTTTATTAATAATTCCTTTTAAAGCAGAAAGATCATTTTGTCTATTTGACTTTGAAGTTTCACAATTGTATGACATTATTTTTGATCTTTCAATTTAAATATGACTATATACTATACTATATCTATTTTCTTGTTAAATTATATACTTTTCTGATGCACAAATCAGTCTTAATTTATATATAATTGCACTTCAAGTATTCCATTATTCCTATGCATATTTATTATAATGATTTGGCCTTGTATGTATGTTTCTTTTTTTATCTACTAGTAAATTACAACCGAAATGAATGACAGACGGACATTAATACAAAACTTAATGAATAATTGAAATCAAGATATTTGCGTTATAACGCAAAGATAGGAAGAAAAATAAAAAATAAAAAATGTGTGGCGCCAATACGCTTCCGTAATTTTCATATAAAAACTCACGACAGATAATATTTTATCATTTTTGTGTCCAGTATACGATAGTATGGGCACTGTGTTTGCGGTTCGTGCATCCATATGTACGTCCGTTTATCATGGAATAGAAGTTCCTATATAATATTAGTTCCAAATGGAAAGAAATATTCTGGAATATTATTTCCACAGGAAGAATAAAATGCTTCGCTGAGTGCAGCTGGATACGACCGCAGATGTCCAACCCTGAACAGTTGGGACAAAAATGGACACAATATTCGCTCTTGATACAGGTCTGAATTTGGATTGTAATTAAATATTTGACACATAATAGGTTTATGACACCGAATAACTGTAGTTAAAGAACTCAGAATTGGTTGTATGATTTGAATGTATATTCAAATTTTTGCTTTTGTGCAATACACTATGCTGTTGCGAAATTGACCCCCCCCCCCCCCCCCCAAAAAAAAAAAAAAAAAATTATCCCCCCCTTTTTTTGCTTTTGTGAAATACACTTTGCTGTTGCGTATTTTGCAAAAAGAAATAATATTTGAAGAAATTTTCTTTGTAATTTCTTAAATCTGAAATGAAAAAAAAAAATTGCCCCCCCCCCCCCACAACTTCTTTTTTACCCCCTCCCCCCTAAATTTTTTTTCACCTCGCTCCCCCCTTTTCCAAAAAAAATTCTTTCCCTCAAGATATCGTCATAATCTCAATTCAAATTTCCAATGGAGTTTGCAACCATTATTACCAATTTAAATACATCATAAAAGTCTTAAAATAGAAAAAAAATCCCCCCCCCAAATTTTTTGAACCCCCTTATGATTCATCACCCCCAAACTCAATCCCAGCCTTCCCTTTGTGGTATGTTACCTTGCAGTACAATTTCAGAGAGATCCATACACTTGAACACAAGTTATTGTCTGGAAACAAGAAAAATGCTTGTTTTTTTCATCTTTTTGGCCCAAAATTCCTAAACGTTTAAGACAATTACCCACAAACTTAAACCCAGCTTTCCCTTTGTGATATGGAACCTTGTAGTACAATTTCATACAGATCCATACACTTACACACAAGTTATTGTCCTGAAACTAGAAAAATGCTTGTTTTTTTGCCCCTTTTTGGCCCTAATTCCTAAGATTTTGATGCAATTACCCCCAAAGTCAATCCCAACCTTCCCTTTCTGGTATGGTACCTTGCAGTACAATTTCAGAGAGATCCATACACTTGAACACAAGTTATTGTCTGGAAACAAGAAAAATACTTATTTTTGGCCCCTTTTTGGCCCCTTATTCCTAAACGTTTTGGAGTGTATATGTGTGTGTGTGGAGCAGGATCTGCTTACCATTCCGGAGCACCTGAGATCATCCCCAGTCTTTGGTGGGGTTCGTGTTGCTTAGTCTTTGGTTTTCTATATTGCATCATCTGTACTATTATTTGTCTGTTTGTCTTTTTATTTTTGGCCATGGCGTTGTCAGTTTGTTTTCGATCTATGAGTTTGACTGTCCCTCTGGTATCTTTCGTCCCTCTTTTGGGCAATTACCCCCAAACTCAATTCCAGCTTTCCCTTTGTGATATGGAACCTTGTAGTACAATTTCAGAAAGATCCATACACTTACACACAAGTTATCGTCATGAAACTAGAAAAATGCTTGTTTTTTGTCCCTTTTTTGTCCCCTTATTCCTTAAATTTTGAGACAATTACCCCCACAATCAATCCCAGCATTCCCTTTGTGATATGGAACCTTGTAGTACAATGTCAGAGAGATCCATACACTAACACACAAGTTATTGTTACAAAAATGCTTATTTTTGGCCCCTAATTCCTTAACTGTTGGTACCATAACCCCCAACATCAATCCAAACCTTCCTTTTGTGGTATTGAACCTTATGGTAAAATTTCATAGAGATCTATTCACTTAAACTAAAGTTATTGTGCGAAAACCAATGTGTCTTCAGACGACGACGACGACGACGCCAACGTCATACCAATATACGATCGTATAAAAATTACAGTATTTGTTACCGAGGATTAAAGGGTATAGAATATTGGTTCCATCATATAGCATTGTTTATAACAAAGTTTCCAATGGCTTTTGTGCGGAAAAAATATGCAATGCCACGAAATACAAGTACACAAAAAATATGTTTATCTGTTATCAATCTTGTCTGTCCCATGTGAGGAGTCTGTATGTCAGTGGTAGTCGTTGGTTGCTGTCTGTCTTATTTTTGTTTTGTTTTGTTGTCTTTAACATAAATCAGGCCATTGATTTTCTCTTATGAGTGTTCCACTTTTTGTCCAACCGGGGCAATTTATAGTTTACTATACGGTATTGGTTTTGGTCATTGTCGAGGGCAATATGGTGCCCTATGGTTGTTCATATCCTCGCTTTTTGGTCTCTGGTGGATAGTTTTCTCATACGCATCATACCACATCTCCTTATTTTATTATCATAAACCGTACATGAAAACACAGCCTCGTGCAAAAACCTGAAAACACAAGCTCGTGCAAGAACCAGAACAACACAAAAAGGTAGTTTTGTTCCAATTGCTGGAATAATATCCATATAGTTTGTTTCAGTCTAACAATCTTATTAAAGAGTTCCTTCATGATATTGGCTAAATAATCCATTCTTTCTTTCTTTCAGTCGGACAGTACCTTATTAAAAGACTAACCCCTTTATTGGCTAGAATATCAAGATGTGTTGTCTTACTAAGTATATCTTCTAGTAAAAGACTACGAGAAAAATACAAATGTTTTGTTTTGTTCAACAACTATATAATCAGCTTTGCTCCTCCTTTATAAATCTTCTGTGTTCTGTTGCAGCAACACAAGCCTTTTTTATCTTCGTTCACAGGAGTTGGCAAATGAATTAACATTTGTATCATTTAAATTACATTTCAAATGGATTTAAACATTAGATGTTTATCTTCAAGGATTGGTATAGTTGCTAAATGCCATAACTAATATAATCATGCATCGCGGCTTGTTTTAATGGTGAAAGTATTGGATGTATTGGTTTTCGTGTAGAGCTAACTAAAAATTTTGTTTAATGAAATTTGCCGAAATATAGCTCCCTCATGCAACGCTCTGGTTTCCTTTCCGGGTTGGGCTATACTTTATGTTCTTTTTTGTTTGATCAGTTCTTCAAAGTTTGTATAAATTTTGGTTTTTCAAATATTTTGTCCTTGAGCATCTCTGAAAGGACATTTATTGTCGACATGCGCTTCTGGTGCAGTAAAATTGGAACCATTAATGGTGTTTCTAACAAAAGCCACCAAGAAGCAATCTACAGAAAAACATCTTTTATAAAATTTGGAGAAGAATGTTCCTGTAGGCTTTTCTTGTTTGTTTTTTTAATTTTTTTTATTGTAGATCTAATTATCATTCTCCTCAACAGTTCCGTATGCTTATCTGTTTTGGGGAAAGCCTCAACTTGAAAAGTCTTTGACAAACATCATTAGAGGTGGGTTTGATTAAGAAAAAAACATCACTGTTTTTGAACTATAGAAGCGAAACTTGCAAGAGTATTGTCAAACTAATAAGAACAATATGAATATTTTAGTACTTTTTCTTTAACTCGGATGTGAGGAAAATTATAAGAAACAGTACACTACAATTTAAAACTAGTTTCGTTACAACTTAACATTTGAGATGAATATCAATCCAATTAAAATTTAAACATGCTGCTTGGACTAAACACGTCACGCTTTTTGTTTATCTAGCATGTATACCATAGTTGTCTGTCAGTCACAGTATTTCTATAATTATATGACTGACACTAACATGATATAGATCATTTGATATTCGTTTTCTCATCACGAGTACAGCATGTACAGTATAAATAAATGTTAACCAACAACGGATATAAATACTAGACTTTAACGTCAACATTTAACTTAACTTTTGTCACTTTTCCTTTTCACAATATCAACATCCGTTATATTCTACATATGAAAGGACTGTGTTTAATTTCTAAGTAAGTATAAATTTGATTTTTTGCTAAAAAAAAACCCACACAATTTAGACATTTACTAAAAATAGTTTTCTTGATTTTATATAATTCAGACTTTGATGTGACGGTGATATTGACTTCTTTATGTAGTGTATATTTTTAACCTGTATTGATATGCGCGTGTTTGCTATGAAGTCTCAGATTTCAATGAATGTAATGTTTGTTTACACTGCGTTGCATGGGCCTACGGACTTTTACCATTGTAACACAATCTTTCTTGCACTCTCGATTGCATCCTGTACTCTCGTTTGCGTACTGCAATTTTGTTTGTAGTAAAATCGTTGTTTCAGGAACTCTGCTGGTGGACATACCGCATATTCAGCTATTAATGACCCCGAAAAACAAATGTAAACAATTCAAACGAGAAAACTAACGGCCTGATTTATGTACGAAACAATATACGAAAAACAAATATGATATACACAAACAAACGACAAGCTTGCTTGGAGTTTAGTAACTGCAACCATTCTTTAATACTTTGTTATTAATACTTTTTACTTGTACAAATGAACCTGTACTTTTGTTGTCCATAATATCGGTATGATATGTAAGGATTTTTTTTCTGAAATGATTGTTCGGTCTCCCAAATACCTGTTGTTCCCCAAGTCGTTTAAATTAAAAGGAGGGTGTCATTATTCAAATCTGAGTTTTCGAGGGGGCGTCAGGATTATGTTTACAGTAGATCATAAAAGATAGACAGGCTTTTAAAAATATTCACCTATTCACCAATGTGAAAAACAATTAGAAGAAAACCTTTAATGGTTTGCACAATATATCAACGTTACAAGTGAACTCTTGAAAAAACAAATCGAATTTTGTTGTATGTTTTCAGTAAAATGATAAAAAAAAGAAGAGGAAAATAACGGTTGCTGGTCCTGATTTATATCTTTAAATAATTATCATGAAAATCACACAAATTGACTTGATGTCAGATAAATCAAGTTACTAACCCCCCCCCCCCCCCCCCCTTTATGATTAAATAGTTGACTTGATAATGATCCAACTTCAACGCAGAATATGACTGTGTAAATAAAAAAAATATCAGACATAAATAATAAAAGTTCTGGCACTATAGGTTAGGCTGGTGTAAGAAACAATATATGTGTCCACCATATATATCAAAATCATTCCTTTCGAGCCTTTTTTTTTTAATGAAAACTGGAAATAACCCTGGAGCTACTAAATTCAACTATCATAGGTTTATAAATCGAGATACTTTTTAGAAAATAAACTGGGATGAAACAGTTCATTTTCCATATGCTCAACACTATAGATAACGGTGACCGATAGTTGTTTCATCAAAGTTCGGTCTTGTGTGGATAGTAAGTTATAACTCTTTTCTTTGGCAATCATACCACATCTCCTTAGTTTTAAACTAGTGTGTTTTATTAAGAATGTTTTTTCTTCGGTCTTATATCGTACTTCGGGTATCTGATGTTTCTTGCGACATAACAGCGTTGAGTGTATTTTGCTTTTCTTTAGTTTTATTTTAGTTTTGATTCATGGAATTTAAGTATTACTCATAATTTGTGGAGTACTTATTTTCAGAAAGGGCAATGCAGTTGCAGCTGTTTTTCATAAATAATTATTTTTAGGTCTCGTTAGGAATGAAATGGGAAACTGTTGCTGTTGCTGTAGCGATCAAGTAGACGAAGAAGATGCATTCATGAAACAGAGGAATTTCGTAATAGACAGCAGTAAGATGTTTTACAAGACTTATTTTTTATTAAATTTATGCAAATTTTGAATTTGTATTGATGGAAAAAAAGAAAATAACACTTTATGAATAATATGCGCTTGAAGCGCTTTATATCTGGATTTAGCTTCAACAGGAACGCTCAAAGTCAAAAATTTTAAAGCCAATGATGTAAAAGTGCAGAAACACACGAAGAGCTGTATTACCAAAAGGGACATAAAAAAATAATTTTGAACTGTCGAGTGATACGGTGCTTTTTGTCCGCAATTTGCTTTTTGTCCGCTTTTGCTTTTTGTCCGATAATTTTGCTTTTTGTCCGACACTTTTGCTTTTTGTCCGTTGCTTTTTGTTCGTTTTGCTTTTTGTCCAATTATTTTGCTTTTTGTCCGACACTTTTGCTTTTTGTCCGTTCCTAATGTTCGTTTTGCTTTTTGTCCGATAATTTTGCTTCTTCTGAAACGGGGATATTATGTTAAATCTTTCAACTAATGAAAATTATTATGTACGATTTGTAAAATCAAATCCCTACAAGCTTACTCAATATCAGGGAACAATCATGGTTTTTTTTTAATTTGAAGGTAATCAAACATGATATTGACGATCTGATGAGTACAACCCTTTTCAGCAGATTTTAAAAGATTGTTCTAAGGTTGTGCTGTTACGTCTAACGGTTGCATAAGGTTTTGATTTTCTAATATTTTGGCCTCGAGCAGCAATTAAGAGACATTAAATGTCGATTATTGCTGTTAATGTTATAACTACCATTGGGTCGATACTTCTGCTAGTGGACTGTTAGTCCTCGATGGTATCATTAGTGCAGTAGGCAATACTTTGTTACTGGCATGCAAACATGGATATTGTTTTAATTATTGTTTGCTGTCATAAAATTTTCGAAGTGATTTCGAGTTAAAAAAAATGTATCTTAGTCGTACATAGCTTTGATTTCTCGTCCGAGTTTGTTTTTTGTTTTTTGTTTTTTTTTTGTCTTTTGAAGGTTGATTAAAAAATATGTCATGTTTGTCTTTTCAGAAATTTTTACTTTGAGTAAATATGGCAAGCAGGAAAGTACAGATCCACAAAGTGATCCAGATAAAAATAGGCAATTTAAAAGTTTCAAAGATTCAAAACATGACAAAAACAGTAACGTAAAAAGTATGAAGAAACACAGTTTTCGGAAGTCTAAAATGGGTAGTTCTAGAAGAGTGAAGCCAAACAGAGAATTTATACGAACATGTTCTATGGAGGAATTCTGTGAAAGTGTATCAAAATATTAATGTTTCTCGTTGACAAGTGCCATAATGCAACCATATCTGATTCATTAACTGTAATTATTCAATATCACATTGACTTGTATAGTGTTTCGTAAAATAATTTTGTTTCTAATGTTCTCAGTGTGCATTGCATATTGTTTTTTTTTATGTTTTAATAATTTTTTTTTGTGGGCATTGGTATCTTCAAATCAGATATAGATTTGCGAATATCTTCTTGTACACTTTTAGATTGAATTTATCAGAAATAAAGGATTTGCAAAAACAGGAATAATTTTTAAAAGGAAAGAGCAATTTAATAGCTGTCAAATTTTGGTATGTTGATTTGAATTGGTTACAAAAGAGAAGCGAAAGATTCCAAAGGGACATTCAAACTCAAAATTCGAAAATAAACTGACAACGCCATGGCAAAAAAAAACAAAACCAAAAGACAAACAACTGTACACAAAACATAACATAGAAAACCAACTGAGCAACACAAACCCCACCAAAAAACCGGGGTGATCTCAGGTGCTCCGGAAAGGTAGACAGATCCTGCTCCATATGTAGCACCGTCGTGTTGCACATGTAAGTACAAACCCGATGATAAGTCTAATTAGGTTGATCACATTCGGTGAAAAGAGGACGGGATTGCGGTAGAACATATCCGTCGTCAGCTGTGAAACAGATATTCCATAACGGTCAACCAACTCGTGATGGCGACGGTAAAATTTACGAAGGGATGATTTCAACTTCACCACTTGGAACTCTTGGTTTAATAGCTTCCTTGTGACAAGCAACCCTCTATCAAGGAAATCATGATAGGAATGCAAGCACTGGAGTATCGTATCAACTGGGAGACATATTCTCCATATGCAGGCGCTTCTAGAATGTTGGTACATAGAAATTGATCGTTCACAATTTGGAAGCTGAAATCATCTCTTTTGTCGTAAAGTTTTGTTTTCAAAAGACCCTCATTGTCAATTTCTAGATGTAATTCAATATGAGACAAACTAAACTGTATTTGTTGTATCCTTTATCTCAAGTTAGATGGGATAGATGCGTTCATCATAGTCATCAAACTTTGAGTTATTTAGTGAGAGGACATCATCTATAAAGCGGAAAGTGAAGTTAAAGGATAAGGATAACGTCTTTTCTTTCTTCCTAAGAAGCTCCTGTATGAAGTCAGCTTCAAATGAATAAAGAACCAAGTCGGCAAGAAGAAGATCACAGTTGGTTCCCATGGGAATGCCGATTGTTTGTTGAAAAACGCGTCTTCCAAACGTAACAAATATGTTTTCAATCAAGAAATCAAGCATCTTGATAATGTCAGTTTCAGAGAATTTTTTTTTTTAATCAGAGTAATTTTTCACAAAGTAAGATTTATCCCTCCCTAAGACAAGATACTTGTAACTACGTTGGCCATTCTTTTTGATGAAACAAAGCAGGACCAACTCTTTCAATTTGTCTTTTAGTTTGGAATGGGGAATATTTGTGTAAAGAGTAGATTAGTGAATAGGTGGTCGCCGACCTAATGTCCAGCAGTATTTATGATAAACATAGTCAGGACATGAACAAACGGTGGTCATGTCCGTATTCTGTAAATATAATGAAGGATTAGAATAGGAATGAGACAAAGTTTTACCATTGCATTAAACAAACGTACTAACCATTATGACCAACACATCATTTAAAGCTATTAAGCCATGACTTCCAAATGGTGAAGTTAAAATCATCACTTCGTAAATTTTACGGACGCCATCACGAGTTGGTTGACCGTTATGGAATAACCGTTTCACAGATGATATCGGATATGTTCCTTATGCCGTAACTATAATACCCTTCCCTTTTCACGAATGTGACTTACCGAATTAGACTATTTACCGAATTTGTAATAACATAAGCAACACGACGGGTGCCACATGTGGAGCAGGATCTGCTTACCCTTCCGGAGCACCTGAGATCACCCCCAGTTTTCGGTGGGGTTCGTGTTGCTTAGTCTTTAGTTTTCTATGTTGTGTCATCTGTACTATTGTTTGTCTGTTTGTCTTTTTATTTTTGGCCATGGCGTTGTCAGTTTGTTTTCGATCTATGAGTTTGACTGTCCCTCTGGTATCTTTCGTCCCTCTTTTAAATTGAGGGAGTAGTTTAAAAGTTCTGAACTGAATGGAAATCATTGTAAAAATCACAAGCAAGACTATGAAAAAAAAAAAAAAAAACATCATCAAAAGTGAACTCTCTGAAATGTCTCTGTCGCCAGCTTTACTGACCATGAATGAAAACATGATGCAAAACTTACAGAAACAGATTATACGAGTATTATATAAAATTAACATTTTCAATGACCCATGTAAATGAGGTAAAGGTCAGATGAACCCTGCTAGACGGACACGTTCACCACACAACTATTTCAATTCATAACCCGTTTGAACACAGCATTATTGAAAACTCCGCTGAAATGAATCGTTGACAAATAAGTAGGGACCGGAGTCGGTTAACGAAATAAGGATAAATAGCAGTTTTAGTTTCGAATTTCGAGTTAAAAAAATAGATGTGTATAATTTTTTTGTTACTTTGTAGTTTAGATCCAAAGTTTTAAGGTCTCGTACATGTAGTTTGTAGCAAAACTTAAAAGTTGTAGTTATGTTTTTGGTTAATATAGAGATTGACGTTGAATCATCAGAAATTCCTTGAAAATTAATATGAACATGTAGTTTATAAACACGCCGAACACGTTAAAATATTGGTGGCATCGATGGGATGTGAGAGACAGTATTATATATTATCATATTATTAGATTTTTAAGTTTATTTTCTTTCTGGCCTTGCATGAAGCAACATATTGTTTTGTATAAACATATATTGCAAAATATGTTCCAAATAAACATGTTAAGAAGATGAAAGGTTTATGAACCTGGCAATTATGAAACAAAACAATTGACTAGGGAGATTAATATATTAAACTTGGAAATAGGGCGCATTAAAGTGAATAGTTTTGAAAATGCACTACACTTTGCTCAGTCAACTTTATCTACCAAACAACACTTCCAAGGCAAACTGACAAACTTCCAACACAACGAACCCTGGTACAAACAGCAACATACACCAAAATACACATGGGCGAAAGCAAAAGTTAGGTATCAGGCTGTTATTACTAATAAAAATTCGGAAAAATAGAGGCGAACTCATTCAGACTCTGTTCTCGAGACCAACTTTGTCACTGAAAGCCCAACAAAATTTGTCAAAACAAGAAGACAAATTAGGTGCATATCAAGGAGGAAAGTCTTATCTCCTAATGCAAAAATATCATAAAGCCATCTTCATATGAAGGACAGGGACCATGGATAGATTATCATTCTCATCTTGATGCCTTTTCAAGTGTAAATGATTGGACAAAGCAGAGAAAGGTTTATATTTGGCAGTAAAAGTAGTATACACGGTTCACATAGTACTCGGGCAAAGGGACCGGAAATACTACCGGACAAACAGAACGGTACAATAGGGGTGAATTAGAGAATGAGTCTAGTATGTTTATCGAAAGGAAATGAAACCAAAAATGCTTATATACACAAGGTATTATTTAACAGGACGCATTCACATGTTTTGTCACAAATGGACAGATGGATACTGTCCGTTCAATCAAAGCTGTGGTACTAGAAGCAGACCTTTCCATAGATGGTATATTGGGAATAACTTTCAACGGAGTCAAAATTGGGTAATTAATACTACTAAAGGTATTTTTTGGTGTAAATGGGAAAGAAAACCGTTTACATTTTGACGGTCAGATAGGATGCTACATACAGAGTATCTGTAGTAACAGCTGTACAACGGTCTCCCAGTAGTGAAGTACTGGTATCTAGAAACTTCAGAAAACCAATTCAACCAATCCAAGGAGCACAAGAATTTGTAGATGCAAATAAAGGTCTAATACGTAGAATATTACTGGACCCACATTATTCTCACATTATCCAATTAGGTCTGTTTCTAATGCTCACCCAATTTTGTCAATATAACAGAATTATAAACAACTGTCATACAAGAGGGAAAATGCCTGTACCAAGTCAGGAATATTACAGCTGTTCTCCATTAGTTCCGATGATTCATAAAGTCTAACATTTGATTTATTCCGTTTTTATGGACTTCCCCCTTTTTGAATTTACCTCAGAGTTCGGTATTTTTGGTAATACTTTTCAACAGCCTGACGTCAATATAAAAGCAATAAGATAGCAAGAGGCATCATTGAGCCTTCAATTAATCCATAGGCTTAATTGGTAGTTTTATTAAGGAAGAAATATGAATCCACACGTTTTTGTGTGGAATTTCGTATGCTTAATAGTTTGAAAGTCAATGACTCATATCCTCTTCATAGGATTAAGGATTCCATTGAGAATCTTTCTGCTGCCAGATGTTCTCGATCCGATTGTTGAAATGCTCATCTGGTGCAGAATAAATGGTACTGTTAATGTTATTACTACCACTGGGTCAATTCCGTAGACTGTTAGTCCCTGAGGGTATCATATGCCAAGTAGCCAATACTTCAGTACTAGCATGAAAATACAGAGATTGCATTATCAAAATTTGCTATTACAAAGTTTTAGAAATCAGTTTTAATTAAGGAATATATCTCCCTCATGCAAAACTCTGATTCTTTGCCCAGCTTTGCCTAGAATTTTTGTCCTTTTTTTATTTTTCAAATATTTCGGCCTTTATCATCACAAAAGAGACATAATTGTTCAAATGTGCATCTGGTGTTTACAGGGTTTCATTATCATTCATGTTGACAGGTACTTTTTCCATTTGTTAGTGATTATTAGCAGCACAGAAGGGTAAAAGTACCAAGTACCACTTTCTAATGAAGTTATTGACTTATGTTCTTGATAATGTCAGGTATAGGTGAGAGCCTCTGATCGATTCAAAACTGCTTACAAAACCAATTTACAAAACAAAACATTGACAACTTACTTGCTAAATATAAAATAAGAATATAAATAATCATTTAATAAAATTTTACACAATTAATAAATAAAGCTTGATTGCATAGAATTGAAATCAGGAATTGTAGAATAAGGAAAAATAGTACAATGGGTTAAGACGTATAATTACATAATTTCTCTGTAGGTAAATGTTGAGGACAATAACAGTATCAAAAACAAATAACAACTAAAAATAGTATGGTTTTGCAGAGGTCAATCATAATTTTGTATTTTTCATTTCAGAAAGTTCAATAAAATTCACAATAACAACATTTTCTTAAATGACATTCTTTTATAAATGGATAGCGCATTTAACCTCAAAATCATTGAAAAATTGAAACAAGTCAATGTGTCTCTTTTTGAGATACAAACATTCAACTTTTATAAGGAAATCAAATATGTCTCTGGAATCTAGATTTTTCATAAGGAATGCATGAGTAGGAATAAATGTTTAACTGAATGAAGACTATATAAGATATAAACAAATTAAAAATAATTATCAGAAGTTTATTTGAGATGAAAGCTGTTAAAAAATGTAAAACAATAGAGGCTGCTGGGAAAAATTGGCAATGAATATCCTAAGAAAAAAACAGAGGAACTACAAAATATCTAAGAAAGTTAAACATGTGAAAAGCAATCATCCATAGGGGAGTAGTCAACCATCTCAGATCACTAAAGACTATAGGAGATTGGTCCACATTTTACTGAAGTTGGCAAATATTGATGCAGAAAATCTATTCATTTTCAAGAAATTCAAATTATCTAAACTTAAGGTAACAACTATTTTTTTACCAAAAAAACAGATTTTGTTTATTGTATCAATTTAAAAACTGCATACTTACATGTGTACCCGTCATATTTTGATATATAAAAAAACAACAGTTGACAATGAGATGGATAATTAAGAAATGATCTGATGAAGAAAAAAAATACAATGAAACATACATAACCTTTAACTGCCATTAAAAATTGTTCGTTTATACATCCAATCAACAACAACAGAGAAGAACAATTTTTAGAGCACTGGTAAAACACTGCCATGACTCTTGAGATATTAAAAAAATATCTATACATGTGTATTTCATTTCATAAAATCTCTAATATTTACACCTTAGATGATGATGGATCATTATTTAAGAATGATCTTGTGCAAAATCGATTATTCATAATTCAATCATAAATTAAATAAATATCTATTTATACATATATCATTCAAATTACCCTTATATAAGAATTGACTACATTCAATACCATGTCTTATTACTATACAGCCTCCTTTTTTCCCTAAAACTAAAAAAAAGTCTCCCCTTTGAAATAAAAGCTATTTACAAACACAAGTGACATTGACAGATTCTATAATTAGCATATTAAAAATTTTAGACTGTTGAAAATATCCGTCTAATATATTGGTAAAGTAAAGCAAATTCCTTCATTTCATTTAAATTACTTGAAATATAATATTTGCTGGCAGTCAGATGAATATTTCTCTTTCTTTTTTCTATTGATTTTTTTATCATTTTCTTTAAGTTATAAAAATTCACATTCCTGTAACAGTTACACCATTTTTGTTTTGGAATTAATTAGCACACTTGAGTACATATATTTTGTGTAACATGTTACAATACTTTACTTCTAAATCATAATTTAGTCGGATTTCCTATCTGGTTAATTATTTGAAGTACTCTGAAAGCCCCAAGTTGAAATACCAATCGGTCCAATATGGTCCAAGCAAAACAATGTACAATATCCAATGACAATAATATGTAAATAGTTCTCTTTAACATATCTTTTGAAATTGCACTCCCACATATAAATAATTTAATATTTATTATAAAAAAGATCAGCACACATACGTTTTTTAAATACACACTTTCACAAAATATTAACTCACATACACATAAACTTGATAAATCACAGATTTGTAATGTACTTTCACTATCATGACCTTTTCTTTATGGATTCTTTTATGAACTTGATGACTTTATATGGATCTGTGTTGGCATTTTGTGACTGAAATATAAATATAAATAAAACGCACTTAACTCACAAAATATATCTCTCAGTGTAAAAAAAGTATTAAAATGATACCAGTTTATTTTATTTGTATGGCCTAAATGTTCTTGTATTCCTGTTGTATGATTTGACAAAAATCAGGCTTATATACACATAATTTTTTAAACAATGTCCTAGTGAAATTAAAATAATTTTTTTTTCAACACTGTTTTTGGTTTCACTTCAGGCTTTTCTTTATATAAAGCAATATGACACTGAAAATAGAAATAACTGTAAGCAGTTATTAATTTAAATCTTTGAAGAGCAACAAAAACATACAATAGACCAATGTACTTCTTATATGTCCCATGGAAAAGTGCCAAATTTTTATTTCATTGGTTTGATTCTCATCAGAACATTTCTATATCATTTCTATAAATTAATATATTTACATATTCTTGATACCTATAATCGAATTTATCAACCACATTTGTTTAATCATTATTTTCAATGCAGTTTTATCACTAGAAACAACATAAAATTTCATGACTCATTCGCAGGTGTTGGTATTTCAACTAAAAAAAAACTTCATTTTAAATTTTAAGATGTGTAAAAGCAAATGTTTTATTTCTAAACTTACAGTAAATTATTCTAATGAACTTATATCAGATCTAATTTCCTCTACTGCACCCCTGGTTATATTTCTAAACTTACAGTAAATAATTCTAATGAACTTATATCAGATCTTATTTCCTCTACTGCACCCCTGGTTATGGCTCTTACATATGCTGGAATTTTTCCTTCCCCAGCTGCCTCATCCTGAAATTTTTTTTAATAATAAATAGAATAAAACAATAAAATGAAAATAGTTCTTTCACTTCTTTCATCATTAGTAATAACTATATGTACTCAGTTGATAATGTGAATTTTAAAATAGACATGCCCACAATTGTTTGTTCTATTGAGAGGAAAATAACTAAACTTTTGATCACTAAATAATATCACTATACATATTGGATGTAATAAAGTATCACATGGTATAGCATGCTCAATTGAAGATTGATTCCTAATTTCTCTGAAAGCCATGATTTGTAGTTATGAAATGTGACTAAAAGGCATGAAACAGTAAAGCTAAATACCAAATTTCAGGAAACAACCAATATTTTTATGTGATGGTCTGACAGAAACACAGAAGAAAGGATGGAAAGACTGAACCAATGTATATATATATCCCTCTTGTAATCACTAAATAGGGTCCTTCCAGAGAATGTGCCAAACATTTTAGAGTTCTGTTTGGAAGGGAGACAATTTTTTGTCATCAGTTTTCCCACTGGTTTTTAGAAAGATTTGTATTCCTTTGTTGATATTCCTATTTACTTTTTATCATGAAGAGGACATTTGTAAAATTTCTATATTAGATATACATTTCATTTATCCTTACCCAGCCATATCTACATAGTTAAATATACATTTTTAATATCTGATCTTACAAAAAGAATAAAATTTGTATATTTCATGGCTAATATGTCATAAATAACAATTGATAAAAGTCATAAATCAATGAATTCATTTATCAAATCTTTTTGACTTACAAATTAAAAAAAATAATCAATGATGTTCTTATAGATATTGTGGTAAAAGTCATTACTGAATAAATGTGGCAATTAAGCAGAATGATTCTCATCCTGATCATAATTGTTTTTAATTTTCTATAAAAAAACAGTAATGAAGGTATATGTACAACCTTAATGTTAACACAGATGTTTTTATCATTAATTATTAAACCTACAACTTTCAATTTAATATAAATCATATCACTCACCAAACTGGGTAAAGCAAAGCCTGAACTATAACATAACTTTTTCATATCTTCTATGAAAGCTGGAAGTAAAAACATTATACAGATGACTCTTGTTATATCAAACTCTTTTATCTAAAAGTTCCTACTATTTCAAGGAAAAATGTCTGTCCCAATTGAAAGACTACATAAATTTACTCTTAAATTAATAATTAATAAATTGAATAACACTTAGCTTTATAACACTACATGACATTCTACATACTGATCTTGGTTTCTACATTCGTGGGCTTGAAATATGACAGGCTAATTAGTGGTAATCATTTAGAATGTTGGCCTTCCCAACATTGAAGGGTCAGCATTTGTAAATATATAAGGGGATTTACTTTAGATCAATGGTCAAATTTTGTACTTTTAAAACTGATGACTTCAATTTTTGTAATCAATTATAATATAAAACAGTTGTCTTAACATTATCAGGCAATAGTCTAGTAACTATTGGTGATTTACAGGAATTTTTCTGAATTTCCTTCTTAATTTTTTTTTTTATCTATGTCAGTTATGCTTGATGGCATTTTGGGTCATCAACCATAATTATTAAAGAGTATTATTAATGTATCATTTCCACAAAGTTTTGATGCAAGTCTTTCTTTTCAGACTTTTGATTAGTTTAAAATTTTAGTCTACTGCATTTTCAAATAACCAATAAAATTACCTCTATAAACAAAATATTGTAATTTGAAAAAATCTTCTGATGGCTTTTGGCCTAATACTATAACTTCATTGTCTTTTTTTGGTAACTGAAAAAAAAAAGTTGATTAATGATGGCTGCTTAACATCAAATGGCAAAAATTTCAGAACAATAACATGTTAATGAGATCTATAAATAAACTGTTCTTTTCACTAGATGATACGCTAAGCTAGATTTTTTTGGTTCTAGCTGAGAAGTTTCCAGGAAGATATATCATCCAATTTAGGCAGGTTATTCTCACTCGGAACAACAAGTCTTTGCTCTTACTCCTAGATGCTTTCTAATTTTTTTAAATCAATGGTTTGACACAGCAAGGATTCTAACCCATAACTTTCTGAATTTATCGCCAACTACCACAATATCACCAAAGCAAGATTCTTGAATTCATTTAACAGTGTAACAACGCTTGAGGCATAATAATTCACCACCAAAAATGATAGATAAGTTTACCATTCACTTCTATAGATATAAGAAGATGTGCTATGAGTGCCAATGAGACAACTCTCCATGCAAGTCACAATTTGTAAAAGTAAACCATTATAAGTCAAAGTACGGCCTTCAACACGAAGCCTTGGCTCACACCACACAGCAAGCTATAAAGGGTCCCAAAAATGACTAGTGAAAAACCATTCAAATAGGAAAACCAACGGTCTAATCGATATAAAAAATGAGAAACGAGAAACACTTATGAACCACATCAACACATGACAACCACTGAACATCAGGTTCCTGACTTAGGACAGGTACAAACAAATGCAGCGGGTTTAAACGTTTTAATAGGCACCAACCTTCACTCTATCTGAATCAATAGTGTAACATCACAACATAGAAAGACACACTATAAAATATCAATTGAAATGGCTTAACTCAATCAAAAGACATATTAACTAAAACAAGTGAACATACACTGAAAGAATAAATTTGATCTATGACACAATGTAAATACAAAATTAATAAAACAAGGGGGTTAGATGTTTAACAATATCAGAAAGACAACCATAACCTTGGACAAAATGCCGCCAAATAAAATAACGTACACAGGTAAATAAAAATAATATAACAATATTTCTACTAACTATAATTAGCTAAAATTGCTTCATGCGTTTTACAAAACAAAAAGCAAGTGCTTTTATTAATGTCTTTCATTTGAGAGTCACTCTGAGGTCTCTAACACAGAGAAAATGTTCACATCTGTCAGCTAGATACTGGTCATGAGAAATAGTTTGAGAAGAAGTTTTTTTCCAGGAGGTATTTTGGCACTGAGGATTTTTTACTTTAATTTCAAGCTTAATTTATTATTTTACTCACAATACTAGCTATAGCTACTGCGTCTCCATACTGTACTGCTAATCCTAAGGACATGTGTACCGACACAAGATCAGAGAAATAATTCTGAGTTGGAAAATCTTCATTGTACTCATCTGCTCCTACTCTCCAATTCTCTACAGCACCTGAATGATAAATATACAAAAGGTGTAAGTAATTCTAAGATACCATTCCACACATGAAACTGGAATTATTACAGCACCTGAAAGATAATTATACAAAATGTGAACGTTATTCAATAGATATGATTCAAAACCATGAAACCAAAATTATTAAGAGAGGCAGAAGATACCAATGAAACATCCTTTACTTATGAGTTGAAGATGTCACTGAATAAAGACAAACAAGTCCACAACACATTACAACACATTACATAGAAATCTAAAGACTGAGCAAAACGAACCCAACCAAACTGGCAGGACACTGGTCGTATTACAAAAATTATAAGATTTCTTGACTTTATAACTTTACATAAAATTCTCTCTTATAACGCGTTGATATTTTCCAATTGCATAAAATTGTTATTTACTAATAAACATAAATGGCATACATTAAATTTTGTTCTTTCTTGTATAATAAATTCCATTCATTTCATGCATCAAATCTAATAGATGTTGGATAAAATATATATACATTTGTACTTTTGACATCAGGTTATAAACCTAACAATTGGTTTGGTCAGTCTGATATCGTTAATTTAAAACTTAGTGCGAGATTTATGATGCAATTTCTGGTCTGCCATGTTGTTTCTAAATGTTGCCAGTAAAAAAATAAAACATCAGTTTTTGTTATTGCAATGTTTATCCTGTCACATTCTTTTGGCATAAATCAATAATGTGGTGGGGTTAAATCAACCCAAAATAACATAAAATTACCAGCTTAACTTACCTTGATATCTATCTGCATCTAAAAATCCATGTACATGTGGGTGAATTTGACTAGCACCTGCATGTGGTAGTAGGTCCCACACAAACATGGGATATTTGTACCGTGAATTTTGTTGATATGCTTTATCTAACCTGCAATAAAATACTATTTACAGTCGTATCAACAACAACAGAAACATAATTCAATAAGATATTTGTATTCTGTGTCTTGCCAAGTCCATTTACCATCAAAAGACGGGAAAATAATACAAAATAAAATTTTTCTTTAGACGCAATGTCTTGAATATGAAGAAGTCTCTTACAGTTTGTAACATTCCATGAAGGTTGTTGAAGTTTAAAAAAATGAATTAAAACAATTTTCAAAATCTAGCCCTGGCTACTGTCTTTTGATCATAAAAAAACCTTCTGTCCAAGTTTCATGAAATTCTATGTAGGTGTGACAAAGTTATTGATGTAAAAAAAAAAAAACTTTAACCACAGATTGAACCAAAGCATTGAAGACTGAAACATTGGAATGCAGGATTGTTATATATCAGTTCCACAACTTTTGTCACAGACTCAACCAGAAAAATGTGGATTTGTATTCAAATAATCAAATTTAAATATAAATAAATGAAGAAACTTAGATAACAAGAAAACTAACTGATGTGTAAAGAGGGAACTAAATCATGCTATGAAAATATATACAAACCATTTTTGTGCCGTGGTCATCAGATCTCTATACTCTGTATAGGTCCAGTTTAGTGGATGATGTTTCTTTGTAAGAATCAATGTATGCCAGGAGTCTAGTTTGAAGGTGTTAGCTGCCGTGAAGGAATGTTCTGATTCTACCCGACCAAATGTGTCTTCTGCTGTATTCCTGAAGAAAAAAATCTTATTACATTTACAAAGTCCATCTTCAAATAAGTCCTAACAAATTCAATTATTACATGTGTGTGTCATGTTCCCTATCTTCTTCTTAACATACATTGACACATAAAAAATACCAAATATTACATGTATCTCAATAACTTTTTGAATATTTTAAGCATAAAAATTTGAAAAAAACTAAGTCACATCAACATTTTATTTATACATGCTCTGACTGTCCCTTGACCTCAAAATAAATAAAGGTATTTTTCTGCCAAAGGGCCATAATTCATGTATGTTTAGTAAAACTCTGATATATAGCTCAAAATAGATAATACCAAAACCAAAGCTGATTAAAGTAACTTCAGTATGTAAAATGTATAAAATTTGGGATCAATTTTGACATGTTTCAACTCAGCTAAAAATAAGAACATCTGAAGAAATAAATGCACAGTGTATACGACTTACAATTTGTATTTACAGAAGTCACAGGATGGTTCAGTTTTCTGTACCAGTTCTTCTACACTGAAAAAACACAAAAGTACTATTTACAACAAGAGTGCACACGCTGAAATGTCTCGCCTTCTTTACTCATCATTGATATTATGTTGATAGTCCTAAATATAAAGCTTTATTACATCTGTTACATAAACTTAACATTAACCAAGTAAACTAAACATTGACCAATGAACCATGAAAATGAGGTCAAGGTCAGATGAACCATGCTAGGCCGGCATGTACAACTAACAATTCTTCCATACAACAAATATAGTTGACCTATTGCTTGTAGTTAAAGAAAAACAGACCAAAACACAAAAACTTAACACTGAGCAATGAACCTTGAAAATGAGGTCAAGGTAAAAAAAAAACCTGCCAGACTGACAAATAGATCATAAAATATTTCCATACACCAAATATAGTTGAACTATTGCATATACTATTAGAAAAAAAGACCAAAACTCAAATACTTAACTTTGACCACTGAACCATGAAAATGAGGTCAAGGTCAGATGACACCTGCCAGCTAGACATGTACACCTTACAATCATTCCATACACCAAATATAGTAGACCTATTGCATACAGTATAAGAAAAACAGACCAAAACACAAAAACTTAACTATAACCACTGAACCATGAAAATGAGGTCAAGGTCAGATGACACCTGCCAGTTGGACATGTACCCCTTACAGTCCTTCCATACACTGAATATACTAGACCTATTGCTTATAGTATCTGAGATATGGACTTGACCACCAAAACTTAACCTTGTTCACTGATCCATGAAATGAGGTCGAGGTCAAGTGAAAACTGTCTGACGGGCATGAGGACCTTGCAAGGTATGCACATACCAAATATAGTTATCCTATTACTTATAATAAGAGAGAATTTAACATTACAAAAAATCTTAACTTTTTTTTCAAGTAGTCATTGAACCATGAAAATGAGGTCAAGGACATTGGACATGTGACTGACGGAAACTTCGTAACACGAGGCATCCATATACAAAGTATGAAGCATCCAGACCTTCCACCTTCTAAAATGTAAAGCTTTTAAGAAGTTAGCTAACGCCGTCGCCGCCGCCGAATCACTATCCCTATGTCAAGCTTTCTGCGACAAAAGTCGCAGGCTCGACAAAAACCAGAAACATGGTAAAAATCTATATATAATATAATAGAGATGTGAATACAGACATATTTCCAGTATTTCTGTTATTCAATAATAAGTGTAAAGTGTTGTTTCTGATATCCAATGATAAGTTTAAAGTTTTGGTTCTGTTATCAATGATAAGTGTAGTGTTGTTTCTGTTATCCAATGATAGGTGTAAAGTGTTGGTTCTGTTATTCAATGATAAGTTTAATGTTTTGGTTATGTTATTCAATGATAAGTGTAAAGTGTTGTTTCTGTTATTCAATGATAAGTTTAATGTTTTGGTTATGTTATCCAATGATAGGTGTAAAGTGCTGTTTCTGTTATCCAATGATAAGTTTAAAGTTTTGGTTCTGTTATCAATGATAAGTGTAGTGTTGTTTCTGTTATCCAATGATAGGTGTAAAGTGTTGGTTCTGTTATTCAATGATAAGTTTAATGTTTTGGTTATGTTATTCAATGATAAGTGTAAAGTGTTGTTTCTGTTATCCAATGATAAGTGTAAAGTGTTGTTTCTGTCATCCAATGATAGGTGTAAAGTGTAATGTGTAGATTTTATTATCCGATGATAAGTGTAAAGTTTTGTAATTATCAGAGTTATTCTAAACTCACAATGCAAAAAATGTGACAATATCAGGTTCGCAATAATAAAAACTCTCATTCATAATTTCAGTACACTACACTGTCCTTTCAAGACCTTCAACTTTATTCAACATAACTTCACACTTGAAAATTAGTCTGTCTATATCAAAATCTCCAGATTTTCCTTTTTAACATTTTGATAATCACAGTCAAAGTGGGTCAAGCCATAGCTAATATTTACAATTTTTTCTTTCAGCATCAATTTTAAACATTTAAATATTTCAAAATAAGTAAAGATATAACACAGTTTCATTTAGAATCTACAGGACTAAATAAGCCTAAGATGTATCCCATCTGTGGTATTATTCTGTTTTAGCTGTCATTCAGAAATTATAGTGAAAATTGTGATGGAATATGTTACAAAAATAAAATATCGCATTTTGAATTTTCATAACATTATTTGTATGCAGCATTTCTTGAAATCGCAATAATTAATCTCGTATTTGTCTCCGTTATTCAACAATAACAATTATAAATGCATGCACAAACTTCTGAATTTACAGTATATCAACTCTCTACTAAAGAATATCAATGATTTTTACAGGACTGTTCAATATTATAGTAAGTACAAGTTAAATCGAAAGTATCCACTAGTACCAATAAACTATACTTACTATTCCCTTTCAGGTCTAGGTGGAACACCCATTGGTCTCTTCTCTCTCAGTGGATTATATACATTCTGTTCTCTAGTATATTCATTGTAGATAAACATTACTGTCTGAGAAAAAAGGAGTTATATAAAATAATGTACATGTCATTGTATCTTTTGGAATCTAGTATTAGGATAATGAAAGTCAACAGTTTTTTTTTATCCATGAAAAGACTAAGAAATATATATGTTTCAACCATTTCCATAAAAGTTCAGTGAAGAAATATATTTATGAATTTTTAACAATGAATACCCTGCCCTCTACAGTTCAAAATTACCTTTCTACTTTAAATTTTACTGAAAACACTGATATACTTTCCCTGTAAATGTACTGTGTCCTCTATCATGTCTATAAAATGTAGCATGTTTAAAAGTGTTGGTTAGAATTGATTTTCTCTAGTCAGAAACATTGCAGATATAAACCTTTGATGTAAATTTCATAATAAACTGTTAACACAGAGGTATGTCTTGCCTTTTTGTAATTTTGATAGTGCAAATGTTGAAATCAAAATAGCAATACTTTAACATGTAAGTTTTGTAAATATTCAAAGTCAATGAACCATGACTGAAGGTACATGGCTAAACAATCACCATGGAATGGGATGCGCCAATGCTAATACAACTGCATACCAAATACGATTGACTTATTATAAGTTGTTCCCTTTAAACAAACCTAAACACAAACATTAACTTGTAAACTATGTAAAAGTTTCAAAGTCAATTAACCATGATGAGGGGGTGGGGCTATATAATCTCCATGGAAAAGAGACTTGCAAATGCCAATAAATTTGCATACCAAATATCATTGACTTAACAATAGCAGTTCATCTTTAATAAACTGATCTAATCACAAACTAATACATGTAAACTAAGCAAAAGTTTAATAGACCATGACTGAGGTGGCGGGGCCAAATATTCTCCATGGAAATGAGATGTTCTAATGCTTATACAACTCCATACCAATTAACATTGGCCTACCACTAATGGTTTCCCTTGAACTGACCTAATCACAAATTAATACATGTAAACTAAGCAAAAGTTTAAAAGTCAATAGACCATGACTGAGGGGGCGGAGCCAAATAATCTCCATGGAAATGAGATATACCAATGCTTATACAACTACATACCAAATATCATTGTCAGACCAACCACTAGTTGTTCCCCATAAACTGACCTAATCACAAACTAATACATGTAAACTAAGCAAAAGTTTCAAAGCCAATAGACCATGACTGTGGGAGCAGGGCCAAATAATCTCCATGGAAATGAGATGTGCCAATGTTAATACAACTGCATACCAAATATCATTGACCTACCACTAGTGGTTCACCATAAACTAGACCTAATCACAAACTAATACATTGTTGACGCGGCCACCGCAGCCGCCGGAAACAGCATACCTATGTCTCGCTTTTTGACCCTGTCAAGGCGAGACAAAAACTGGTGAGAATTATACACATGAGAGCGCTTTAAAGAAAGGACAGGAACAGGAATCATAGACAAACAGATGGATTGACAGACACCTGGTATTTCTATGTACTTGCACCACATTGCGCGGGTGACAAACTAGAGGCTCTTAAGAGCCTGTGTCGCTCACCTGACTCTACTTTGGTTTTAAAAATCATGTAAAGATAGATAAAAATCACAACAGATACCCAAATAATAATGATTGAGGCCAAATTTGGATAAATATTGGTCCCGTTATTTAATAAAATATCCTGGTGGCCATCTTGAACAGTAAATCGGCAACAAAGTAGCAACACATGGTCAGCACCTCATAAGGAACATTCATGCCATGTTTGGTTTCATTCCATTCAGTGGTACTCTAAAAGAAGACATTTGTATGTATTTCCCATAGGGTCCTATGTTAAACTAAGTCCCCCGCTGTCAGCCATCTTGGATGATGGACCGACTGCAAAGTAACAACACTTGGTCAACACCTCATAAGGAACATTCATGCCATGTTTGTTTCCATTCCATTCTGACAGTGGTTCTCTAAAAGAAGACATTTTGTATGTATTTCCCATAGGGTCCTATGTTAAACTAAGTCACCCACTGGCTGCCATCTTGGATGATGGATCGGCTGCAAAGTAACAACACTTGGTCAGCACCTTATAAGGAACATTCATGCCATGTTTGGTTTCATTCCATTCAGTGGTTCTCTAAGAGAAGACATTTGTATGTATTTCCTTAAGGGTCCTATGTTAAACTAAGTCCCCCGCTGGCAGCCATCTTGGATGATGGACCGACTGCAAAGTTACAACACTGGGTCAGCACCTTATAAGGAACATTCATGCCATGTTTTGTTTCATTCCATTCAGTGGTTCTCTAAAAGAAGACATTTGTATGTATTTCCCATAGGGTCCTATGTTAAACTAAGTCCCCCGCTGGCGGCCATCTTGGATGATGGACCGACTGCAAAGTAACAACACTTAGTCAACATCTCATAAGGAACATTCATGCCATATTTGGTTCCATTCCATTTATTGGTTCTCTAAGAGAAGACATTTTTATGTATTTCCCATAGGGTCCTATGTTAAACTAAGTCCCCCGCTGGCGGCCATCTTGGATGATGGATCGGCTACAAAGTAACAACACTTGGTCAGCACCTCATAAGGAACATTCATGCCATGTTTGGTTTCATTCCATTCAGTGGTTCTCTAAAAGAAGACATTTGTATGTATTTCCCATAGGGTCCTATGTTAAACTAAGTCCCCCGCTGGCGGCCATCTAGGATGATGGACCGACTGCAAAGTTACAACACTTGGTCAGCACCTTATAAGGAACATTCATGACATGTTTTGTTTTATTCCATTCAGTGGTTCTCTAAAAGAAGACATTTGTATGTATTTCCCATAGGGTCCTATGTTAAACTAAGTCCCCCGCTGGCAGCCATCTTGGATTATGGACCGACTGCAAAGTAACAACACTTGGTCAACATCTCATAAGGAACATTCATGCCATGTTTGGTTCCATTCCATTTATTGGTTCTCTAAAAGAAGACATTTTCATGTATTTCCCATAGGGTCCTATGTTAAACTAAGTCCCCAGCTGTCGGCCATCTTGGATGATGGATCAACTGCAAAGTAACAACACTTGGTCAGCACCTCATAAGGAACATTCATGCCATGTTTCGTTTCATTCCATTCAGTGGTTCTCTAAAAGAAGACATTTGTATGTATTTCCCATAGGGTCCTATGTTTAACTAAGTCCCCCGCTGGCAGCCATCTTGGATGATGGATCGGCTACAAAGTAATAACACTTAGTCAGCACCTCATAAGGAACATTCATGCCATGTTTGGTTTCATTCCATTCAGTGGTTCTCTAGAAGAAGTTCAAAATGTAAAAAGTTAACGACGACGCCGGACGCCAAGTGATGAGAAAAGCTCACTTGGCCCTTCGGGCCAGGTGAGCTAAAAATAGGGTGCATGAGCTTGATGTCACAATTGAATTTGTTGTACTTTGAACAATACTGGAGATCAAAATTGACATTTCTGTGAGAATAACTTGCTTTGAAATTCAAAAAGTTTTTTTAGAAGTAAGTCTATATGAATTTGTACAATTTATATTGTCAAGCATAACATTTTGCTTCATCAAAGCAAAATGACTGTCTTATACAGGTTTGCTCCAGAAAAAGACCCTGAATTTTCTTCTTTCAGAATCTTTTTATTCTCTCATTTCTAATGCTCCTTGTAAATACTGAGAAATATAATGCCTACCTATGTTTAATGAGCATAGAGAATGACACAAAATAATTATTTCTTAATCAGATGTACATTGTATCAACTTACTTGTTTTTTAACAGCCTGAAACAATTCTTCTTTGTTACCCAGCCATTTTCTAACTTTAACAGCAAATGTGTCTGGAATTACTACCCTTGCAGGATGGGATGTTATGGTAAATATTGATGTAAACATTGTGTACACTCTCCTGAAAATATTAGAAGCAAAAGTATCAGCAAATTTCGAAGTTGTTTTTTTTTTTAACTTTTCTACAAAACTGTAAATAGACAATGATTTCTTTATATTAACACACTCCATTGTGCTGTCAAAATAAAAAAAAGGAAATGTGGTATGACTGTCAATGAAATAACTATCAATAAAGAAATTGTTTCCAAAAGCTTTTTAAACCTAGACCTGCCTTTCCTGTTAATTTATCTTAAGTGATGTTTTTACTCAAAGTTATGTTGGAATGTTTATTAATGTCACAGATTTGTATTTAAATCAAATGATAAAATATCCTTTTTATTCTTTTTTTTTATCAAAGCTTTTTAATTTAAACATATAAATAAAATCAAAACCACTACTGACCAATAATACTTATTCAGTCAAAAACAAAGTTTTAATATCTAAGTGAATAATATTCTACTTTCAGGAAAACTCTTCTGTTTATATATATCACATTTAACATTTTGATAATGATATACCTGCATTCAGAATCTTGACTTTTACTCCATTTTTTCTGAATTTCCAGAATTCCATCTAGAGATAAATCATCTTCAGACTTGAGACATGTGGATTTAAGCCATTTCTGAAATGTACATGATGTACATGTAAAACTTTAAAGCATGGATTTGTGTTTTGCACATTTGAAAAATTAACCAACAGCACAGCAAGGGCAGTGATACAATAATTTGCAATAGATTCTTCACTAATTAGCAATTTCTCTTTGGTTATGTATTATTAAAAGATGAGCATTAATTTTGTTGAATCCATTTTGATGAAAAACTGAGAACTTAACAGCATACAGATAATTAATAAATATTGTAGGATTTAATATGTACATGTATCATCCATTCTAACCCTAAAGTTCATATGTCGACCCCTTATAAAGCATCAACACATTGATTTTGGTATGACAACCAAAAACACACTTGTGACAAAATTCGGGAAGGTGACGATTGCATGCAAAATTGGATAATGTCATATAGAAACACACAAACCAGTTCAATCCAGCAAAGAAAGAGTTTAACATGTTTAACTTGACATTTTTATGTGTATTTTTCTTAATTATCTGAATGCATCATTAACATGCAAGTAACACATATATAAGCAATATGATGTTTCAGAATAACCACTATTCAACAGAAATTAAAATATAAACGCTTTTTGTGTGTGTGTTTTTTTTGTTTTTTTTTGCTGTGCATGAACTGATTTTGTGTCATGGATGGATACTCCATATCCTTTGTTTTTCTATTATCATGATTATGATCAATATTTAGACTTTCATGATCAGTGATTATGTATATTTAACAAAAATCATTAAAAAATTGGTCACATATGTTAAATTCATATGATCATGATGTTATCATTACCTCATTATGTTGAGTATCTACCCTGAAATTGGGCCAGAAACGATACTGTTGATTATGTTCCTTTTCTGTTTCCTGTGGCCATTCTGTTGTGAATTTATTGTTGGATGAGCCTACAGAAACAAACAAGTAGATCAAGAACACAGTTACTACAATACCAATAGCAACAATCCACTGTTTCTTCCACTGCATTGTAGACATGGTGTCTGTCTTCATGGAATCTAATGGTTTAAATGCATCTGAAAGATATGACAAATGCTTAAATAATTTATGGTGTATGACATGTATGTTATTACACTGTAGGCTATGAAGTTGGAAAATTTGTAAAGTTCTTTATATCATCTCTATGTTAATTTTATTGGTTATGAAAAAGATAATAAATTTTACTCACTTTAGTGCGAAAACTCATTTATGTCAATGTGACATATTAAAACAAGTTAAGTGATATTACACATATCTGACCTAAATGGCAAATGGAAGTCAATGAATAAAATCTGCAACCAAATCAAATATTACTGATATGTCTAGTGCTATACATATATGTAATTAATACACTGTAGTACTACATGTACTACCTCAACCTATCAATTCTGGAATGTTAATTTAAATTGTTCAATTAATCAATGTTCTACCAGCTGACAGCATTTGTTGAAACATCAATATTTTAGGATTAAATTATTGATAATCATTTAATATTTTACTTTATCTTACACAGCTTGTGTTCCTTATTTTTACAGGTAAATGCAATTACAATACTGATAAAATGTGCATTGTTTATTTATAAAGCTCAATTTTTATAATATTTCTGGATCCTCAGATCAGTATCAAGTGAATAATTGAAATGTCATAGCAGGAAAATCAAAGCAGTACAGGTATGAATAAATTAAACAGAAAACATGAATACATGTATAACACATATACATTGTAAAAGATGACATTCAAGTGACCAACTTGCAAAAACGTTGAGATAAGCTAGATATATTTTCAATGAAGTTTGAAAGCTACATGGAGGAAAATATAAAAGGTACAACAGGTTTCCCTAGGTCAATATCTTTTTTTGCAAAAACAATATTTTTTTCATCAGCTGACATAAGCAAATTTTTTTTTAGGATTTGTTTTCCTTCTTGCCAACAAAAAAAAATCAGTTTTCTTATTCATAATAATTCTACATATATATATATATATCTATCTTATAACCTACATTGTAAAATATGAACACTAAATTAGAACAAAAATTTCTTGTACTTTTTTAACAATACTGCAAAATTTTACTTATAGGAACACCAGTCAGGGGACTTATTGAAATAAGTGATTTTTAAATCACTTATTTAAGTAGCAAATTCGAAGTTTTGTCACAAATTGTGATTTTGTAGTTTTTCCAAAATTTTAAACACATAGGTTTAGATAATAAATTTTCATTAGTAAAATTGAAAAAAATGAACTTTTTGCTTCTTTTAAGCAGCAAGGTTTATGCCTTTGATGCAATCATTTAGCTGCAAATTCTATTTTAGTTGAAAAAATGCTATAAATATGGCTTTACATAATGAACTGACACTTTCTTAACAGATTTTTCCCAATAGTGGGAGTATTTTTCCTGTAAAATTCAAGGTTTCATCTTATAGATTATGTAATAAAATTCTACTGTTCGCGATCAAAATTTCACTGTTCGGGGGTGTTGAAATTAGTGGGGGTTATTAAAATAATGATACTTAAAGAAGTGATTTTTTGGAAGGAAATTGAGGTATGATACTTAAACAAGTGATTTTTATGTCATTATCCTAGATTTAGTACAAGGTCATCACCTGACATGACCAGGTCATCCTATCAACACACATGTTGGTTCTGATAATTTTAGCAACATAATTAGTCCCTGGATCATAATTAGTATTCTATATTTAAAGCTACAATAAAATTAAATCACTTAGTCTAGTGATTAATTTGTACTACTTAAATAGGTGATTATTAAAGAAAGACAACTCTAACTTCCAACCTTTACTGACATAATGTTACTTGAATCAGTGATTTAGAAAATCACTCATTTAAGTAAGTCCCCTGACAACACTGGATTCATCTTCAGTTTATCATCAATCACTTATCAGTTTATTGGATACGTACTGTCTAGTTAACATGGTTAAAGAAAAACAAATAAAATTGGAGATTTTTCTTACTTTTGACCCCTTTCTTCAAAACAACAGTTTTCTTTTCGGGACCATGTCAATAGAAGAAGTTGAGATGTTAAACTTTACTTAAAACAGGTACACAGCTCTAAAATGATATAAAGTATTTCTTCAAAACAATTATTTTTTATCAAAATTGTAAAATCAATCCTTTAAATAGCATGTGACGCCATTTTACCACACATTTGCATTAAACAATACAATTAATACCTTTATTAATTATTCCATTGTTGGCGATTGCTATCAATGCAATCCGCTGATATCCTGTTAATTTTGTTTCAGGTTTCTCAAACTTTTTCCCTGATCAGACAGTACTCAGAAAAGTTGAACAGATATATATAGCCAATTATGATTTCTAATCGCCACAATTATAAAACTAAAGACTAAAGACATTTTTAATCATACCTGCCAACTTTTCAAAATCTCCATGGGGGATTTTATGCGTAAGAGAACCTAAAGTTCCACTTATATTGAAATAAGTGTTCTTAATCTACTACTATATTGTTTGAATGAGTATATATGTGCTTAAATACCCTTTTAACTCATTTGAATGCCTGTTTTGAGGTCTTCAGTTTATATAATCAAGAATTTTAAAATTCATTTCAACACCTCTCATGGGGGATATCCCCCATAAATCGGTATAGTTGGCAGGTCAGAATTTTTTTGCAAAATGTGAAAATGGCGAACTCCAGCAGAAACCCTGATACATGAAGCTTTTTGTCTTTCTGCCAAACTCTGGGGTGCAGAATTGTCTTGATACAGAAATGGCTCTCCTCATACATGTCATAAGCATAAGGGGAAAAAAACCAACAAACTGGCAACACTTTCTACTGATAATAAGACGATATCAATATTTCCAAAAGTACTTTTTTGCTTCAATTAAAAAATCAAAGAAAGAAATTATGTAAAATGTATGTCCAATTGAAAACTGATCGGTATATATATATATTAAAAGACATAATCTATTAAAATTTTCTATATGACACACTCATAAGTCATATGACATGTACGATGAATCATGACTCAATGAGAAAACATGATATACATACACAGATAATAAAGACAGTCTGCAGAACTTTTTGTATTTGCGGCATTAACTTTTAACTTCTGATGAGTTTGTACATGTGTCTCTCAGACGAGTTTATGAACTTTGTTGTTTGTTACATTAACTGGATCCGTAACATTTGTCGTTAACCAAAAATCAATTTTGAAATGGGAAACCAGTTGTTAATGATGCTAAAATATAGCAAACTGATCCGGACTAGGACCCCAATATATAGTGAGTATAAATAATTGACTTTATGCTTCATATTGTTCCAGGAATTAATCCTTTATTCTTAGATTTATAAATGCTGATTGTATAATTATTTCAGAGATGTTATCCTTTGTTTAGTGGAGGTGTGCCTCAAAAGCTTGATTGGCAGACATTCAAATATAGATGTGTCCAACTATATACCAATGATCAGAGTATGATCAAATTACACAATCCAGACCAAGCTAAAACATATATACAATTCAATTCAATTCAATATTTTATTGGAAAGGGGACAATAGAGGTGTGATCCAAATACATATATAGTTAACAATTACATCTACAACATATAAAATAACTGTAAAAACCAGTCTTATTCAGTTTACAAGTAATAAATTATTCCTTATTGTGACAGATATATTTACCATATATATATATATGATGTGTGTACTATCATAATACATTTACTAATAGTTTTTATAAATATAATATTGAACACTGGGCAGACATCATATAAAATATAAATACATGGTATGTATGCATTAGTGTTTAGTGCATTAATTAGTGTTTTAATATATATGATTAGTATATCTGTTGAAACAGCATGGTGGCTGAGCATGGTGGTCCCTAAAACCAAGAGCTTCTTGTAAATAAGTAAAACTTTATTTTGATTCGGCATTATGGACAAACATATTACAACATAAGCTCTAATGAGCTTTTCACTGAATATAAAAGCATATGCAATAACAAGTAAAACAAGGCATGCAGCATGCAAATAAATGGTAATAAAACAGCACCACATTTAACTCTAGCATATACATGTATCTTTCGTATACCAAAACATATATATGAAGCACTAATTAAATACAGGAATAATTTAAAAAATTTGCATCTAAAAATTTTTAAAATAATTTATAAAGTAAAATTTAAAACTTCAACTCTTGTAATTATTAAAACGTAAAAACAAAAATTCAGTTGCAATGCAAGCTGTTAATGCAGCATAATAAGCATAATAAGCATAAATAATGTATCACAAATTACCTACAAGCAGTCTCAGCAAAAACAGTCTGTTCCACTCCAGGTCTGAACAAGGCTTCTAAAATGTTTGAAGCTCAGTTAACAGTCCTGAAATGGTCTGGTAAACTATTCCATATATAGAGAAGCAGCAAATGTACATACAAACAGATTTTAATTCTTTTTCGGAATTTGGGTTTACAATTTTGATTTTCATTCAGATTATTGTATCTATTTCTTTGATGTTATATTTAGATCTGATTTTGGTATATTGGGAACATATTTGATAAAGAAATGAATCTCATTTTCTGCACGTCTGGTGCAAAATTTGCAAAATCCCTCATTAGAAGGTTACCTATTGGTTTTGCATATCTACCAGTTTCTATGGCTACTGAGTGTGCACTTATTCTTAATTTGGTGAGTTTTTTCTAAGATGTTTTGGGACATTAAAGTTATTTAAATATTTTTGTTGTTTGAATTCAGTATTAATTTTACTAAAAAAATAAAAGTTTCCCAGAGTTACCCTCTCTTATTTTAGACAGTTCTTATAAATCTTATCATGGTTTTGTAAAAATCTTCTAAATTATGTTTGAAATTAGTGTCATAAAGGTTATTTAATGATATTCCAATATATTGTGATAATTCAAAAAGTTCAATATTAGACCATGACTTTTCTCTATTTGTGAGAGTTTTATCCACTTCAAATGAAGCCCTAAGAATTTCATGTGGACCGCCAGACTGACTTTCACCTTATCTCATCGAGACTTACATTATAAAGTATTTATACATAAGTTGATAACACTTTATGCTAACAGGTAATACACCAATTCACGTCTTACTGCTAAGTTGGAAGACTTTCCATGAACCCGAAGTATGTTTTTAAAGATTGAGTTTAAATTTTGGTCATGTAAATTGACTGGACTTGTTGATTTGGTGTAAATTTTTTTCTGATGTCATCCACAAATATATTAGATAAGAGTGGGAATTTTGTCTGTATTGTGTAGCCATAACCATTTATTTTTACAAGCGCATATATGTATTAGAGTACATGTCATGCAGTGTATAATAAAATTTGCTATTTATTCCTTTAGCTTGTATTTTAAAGAATAAAGCTGATCTCCAAACACTGCCAAAAGCATTTTTGAAATCTACAAAACACTCATATAATTTCTTTTTATATGTACAGAAAACATGATAATTTTTTAGTTCAATTATTGCTGACCTGCATCTTCAACAGTGGCCACTTTTTGGTAAAAATAATCATTTGTAAGGGCAATAACTCCAAAAAGAGTCGACTGACAATTTTGGCTATCTTGACATATTTGCAGTTCTTGTCTTTCTGATGAGTTTATCTGATTACAATTTTTCTTTATCCACCAAGGTTTTCACCACAAATGCAAAAATGTGTAAAAATCATCATTAAATGGCAATGACTCCTATAAAGTGGGGACTGACATATTCTGCCATGCTGACTTATTTATATATCTTGTCCTGATCATTTTTGCTGTTTAAATTGTTTGTTAATCTATAATAGTTTTCAAGATAATGGGCAAACATGCCAAAAATCATCATATATTGGTTTAAATTGGATAAAAAATTGACCAATGATGATAGCAATATTGACGTATTGCTGTGTGTTTGTTTTTTCTACATTGGCTAGAGGTATAGGGGGAGGGTTGATATCTCACAAAACATGTTTAACCCCACCGCATTTTTGCGCCTGTCCCAAGTCAGGAGCCTCTGGCCTTTGTTAGTCTTGTATGATTTTTAATTTTAGTTCATTTATATGTTTTAGAGTTTAGTATGACGTCCATTATCACTGAACTAGTACACATTTTTGTTTAGGGGCCAGCTGAAGCATGCCTCCGGGTGTGGGATTTTCTCGCTGTGTTGAAGACACATTGGTGGCCTTCAGCTGTATTCTGCTCTTTGGTCGGGTTGTTGTCTCTTTGATACATTCCCCATTTCCATTCTCAATTTTATTGTTTGTAGATCTTATCTATCTTGTGGATTATCTATCTAAAATTTCTCTTTATCTGTTAAAGTATTAAAAGACAAGAAATGATTGTAACAGGATGCTGTTACGAAGTCTCCCAAACGAAGCTCCCATAATTCGCAATTCCCAGGTTCGCCTGACATTGGGCAAAGTCCAGTGAAAATTGGTTTGGTCCAGTAAAGTTATATGCATTAGTGATGCCTGGGGACTTACCCTGTATATCATTCAAATCATCTTGGCATGACAAACCAGAATATATATGGTTTAGGGGTGGGGATCTCGACCAATTACAAGATATTAGAACTTTCTCAAATGGCAGGGGGTCGGGATGACCCCTGGGGACTAACCCTGTATATTATTCAAACCATCTTAGCATGACAAACCAGAATATATATGGTTTAGGGGTGGGGATCTTGACCACTTACAAGATATTAGAACTTTCTTAAATGGCATGGGGTGGGGGTGACCCCTGGGGACTAACCCTGTATTTCATTTGATGTGCTTTATCATGACAAACCAGAATATATATGGTTTAGGGGTGGGGATCTCGACCATTTACAAGATATTAGAACTTTCTCAAATGACAGGGGGTCGGGATGACCCCTGGGGACTAACCCTGTATATCATTCAAACCATCTTAGCATGACAAACCAGAATATATATGGTTTTAGGGGTGGGGATCTCGACCATTCACAAGATATTAGAACTTTCTCAAATGGCAGGGGGTCTGGATGACCCCTGGGGACTAACCCTGTATATCATTCAAACCATCTTAGCATGACAAACCAGAATATATATGGTTTAGGGGTGGGGATCTTGACCACTTACAAGGTATTAGAACTTTCTTAAATGGCAGGGGGTCGGCATGACCCCTGGGGACTAACCCTGTATTTCATTTAATGGGTTTTATCATTTAGAACATTTTCAATTAAAAAGATTGTGTCTATCACAAACAGTTTTCAATTTATAATCATTTGAAAATTTTAAAAAATAAAATCCCATAGGGTTCTATAGTAAAACCCTCTTTTCTTTTTGCCCCTCAAAGTACCCCTTTATAAACCCCATTGCACAAACAAAACCCTGATTACACCACTAGACATGTTAGTCTCACATATTGTGAAACCCTAAGTTAATCTGACAAGCAGTTTGTGAGAACGGGTGCGGACAAGTTCAAATTTAAAAGCGGCGGAAGAGGAAGAGGAAGAGGAAGAAGAAGAATAATAATAATAATAATAACTGAGCAAAAACAATAAGTCTTCCCAAACTTCGTTTGGGAGACTTAAAAATAGGCAATAACACAAAAAATTGTTAAAAATTTTCTTCTAAGAGCAATAACTCCTATAAAGAGTCAACTGACAATTTCAGGCATGCTGACTTATTTGTAGGTCTTTTTTTGTCGATCATTTTTGCTATATTAAGGTTCTATCTATCTATTATAGTTATGATAATAGGAAAAAATGCTAAAAAATTGGTAAAAAAAACTAAAAATTGTCATTAAATGGCAATAACTGTAATAAGTTGTCAATTTACAATTTAAGCCATGTTTACTTTGTAGATTTTGTCTTTTTTATCATTCTTGCTTCTCAAGAGTAAAAAATTCTCTCTATTTGAATAATAATAGCAATAAAATGCTCCGCAGGGCGCAGCTTGATACGACCGCAGAGGTCTAACCCTGAACAGTTGGGGCAAGTATGGACACAACATTCAAGCTTGATACAGCTCTGGATTTGGATTGTGATTAAATATTTGACACAGCATAGGTTTCTGACACAGAATGAATGTGGTCTAAGAACTTAAAAATTTTAAATTGGACATTCACCTATTATGGTCCAATATCCAAAATCTAAATACATGGTTAGATTCAGCATATCAATGAACCCCAAGAATTCAATTTTTGATGAAATCAAACAAAGTTTAATTTTGGACCCTTTTGACCTCAATGTGGACAAAGTTGATAACGGGGCCCAAAAATCAAAAATCTAAATACATGGTTAGATTCAGCATATCAAAGAACCCCATATATTCAATTTTTGTTGAAATCAAACAAAGTTTAATTTTTGACCCCGATTTGGACCAACTTGAAAACTGGGCCCATAATCAAAAATCTAAATACATGTTTAGATTCAGCATATCAAAGAACCCTAAAAATTCAATTTTTGTTAAAATCAAACTAAGTTTAATTTTGGACCCTTTGGACCTTAATGTAGACCAATTTGAAAACAGAACCAAAAATTAAGAATCTAAATACACGGTTAGATTCGGCATATCAAAGAACCCCAATAATTCAATTTTTGATGAAATCAAACAAAGTTAAATTTTGGACCCTCTGGACCTCAATGTGGACCAATTTAAAAACGGGGCCCAAAATCCAAAAACTGAATACACGGTTAGATTTAGCATATTAAAGAACCCCAAGAATTCAAGAATAAAACCCCATTGAAATTGATCAAGAAATAAGCAATTTATATGAAGTATCTTCTTTTGCACAATACTGTGCAATTGAATATTTCTTGCTATTGCGCAATACTGTACAATTGACAATTTCTTGCTATTGCGCAATATTGTGCTATTGGATGTTTCTTGCTATTGCGCAATACTGTGCAATTGAAGATTTCTTGCTATTGCGCAATACTGTGCAATTGAAGATTTATTGTTATTGTGCAATACTGTGCAATTGAAAATTTCTTGCTATTGCACAATACTTATTATTAAATAATTTACACATCCTGTTTGGTGTGTATCTCCTACCATATCATTATTATTTGCTTTCAAATATAAATCAGAAATAACCAACTTAAAATGGAAAATTTTAAAAGAAAAAAAATGGAAAAAAAGAAAAAAAAAGAAAAAAAAAAAATCCCCCCCCCCAAATTTTTTGAACCCCCTTATGATTCATCACCCCCAAACTCAATCCCAGCCTTCCCTTTGTGGTATGGTACCTTGCAGTACAATTTCAGAGAGATCCATACACTTGAACACAAGTTATTGTCTGGAAACTAGAAAAATGCTTATTTTTGGCCCCCAATTCCTAAACGTTTCGGGCAATTACCCCCAAACTCAATTCCAGCTTTTCCTTTGTGATATGGAACCTTGTAGTACAATTTCAGAAATATCCAAACACTTACACACAAGTTATTGTCATGAAACTAGAAAAATGCTTATTTTTGGCCCCTAATTCCTTAACTGTTGGTACCATAACCCCCAAAATCAATCCCAACCTTCCTTTCGTGGTATTGAACCTTATGGTAAAATTTCATGGAGATCCATTCATTTAAACTAAAGTTAGAGTGCGAAAACCAATGTGTCTTCAGATGATGCCGGACGACACCAGACGACGACGACGCCAACGTCATACCAATATACGACCAAAAAATTTTTAATTTTTGCGGTCGTATAAAAATGGGAAAAAAATGGTGAAATTTGTAATTTAGGACAATATCACCTAGAAGAAGTCATATGACAGTTTTGATTAAAATAGTGAGTAGATAGATCTCATTAATCTGAACATTTCTGACCTGTCAGATTTTCTTTATCTAAAGTGGTTTTCAAGATAATAGACAAATCTTGCTTTTTACCGCTATGACTATGTTCCTTTTTTTAGCCATGTCAGCCATGTTGTTTGACAGGGGGATCATCAGACACAATTTTAAACTAGATACCTCATTGATGATTGTGGACAACTTTGGTTCCAATTGGCCCAGTAGTTTCAGAGAAGATTTTTTGTAAATTAACATATGACTGACGACAACAGATGACAGGCGGCAAGTGATGAGAAAAGCTCATTTGACCCTTTGGTTTAGGTGAGCTAAAAAAAAGGAGTCACACATACCTTTTTACATTCTTTCAAGTTAATTTCAGATGATGGATGAAACTTCAGACCTTTTTGAAAATTAACAATCATTCAGTTATGGGTAGGCATAAAAAAAGTAAACAAGAAAGATTGACTAGATATGGCTTTTTAGAAAATTTCATAACAAAGTTTCTGTTATCTCATTTTAATATGCAGCTCATTTTTATTCAGTATCACAGTACAAATGCACATATTTTCAAAACAAAACTTTTGATACTTTTCACAAGTTTTAATTACATACAACTAAGATTATTTTGACAAAGACAAAAGTAGAGTAAAGAGTTTTATATGCATGGTAACCTCATATATTTATAGTTTATGACAAAAGGTTAAGGGTATTAACAAAATCTGTTTTTCAAAAATTTCTGTTATGATAAAAAAAATTGTGTTGTAACTCTTTCTGACAAACAATTACATAAACACCAAATTACACATCAGCTATATTAAAAAGAAAATTCTAAGCAGATTTGTTTTGTTTCTTAGACAAAACAAGAATATTTATCCATAGCAAATTATACGCAATTACATATTCATGTTCAGTGAACCATGATATCTGAGGCAAAACCCTAATTTAGCAGGTTTTTTTTAAGATCACGTACATCATATAATTATGTGTGCAATGTTTGAAGTTGGTGTGACTTAAACTTCATAGTAATTTACTGTAAACCAAAACTTTAACCTGATACAGTACAGACAAATGGATAAACAGATGGATGCAGAGACACAAATACTGACAAACATATTGCCCTCAACTATAGTAAGCAGGGTTTAACAAAAAAATTACTGCAAGTTAGAAATTATCATCAATACTTTTTGCCAATTATAACATTATCACAACATGTCTGTTTTTTGTCATTTGTTTTGTTATTTTAACATGTATGCAGTAGTATATAAAACATCAAAAGGCAAAACTCATCATTGTGGACAAGAAGAGTTTAATAACTACTATTTGGAGCAGCAGATGAGCTAATAACTGACTTTTTTCTTTCTTTCATACATTCAATATTTCCTCTAATTTTTTATGTAATTTAATAATCATTTTTCTCACATTAATAACAAAACTTTAATCAATGTGTTAACATTATTCTCAGATAACCATATACTATTTAAAAGCATCATTTGTTCAACATTTTTATTAATAAATGATTCTATTTCAAGTATTTTTGAAAATGCTGAATGATGTTGCACATATTGTTTTGCATTTATTTGGAAGAAATTGAGTTTCCTAAGTGAAAAACTTCAAATTTAATTAACATTTCCTCTCATTCATTGGAGATACAAATTTTACCACTTAACACCTTCCCATCTAAATTTAATAAATATCCTTAGAAGATGTGTAGTGGTAGAATTTAAATATAATGTGTTGCTAAATATAACTTCGAATTTAACTTAACATGAGAACAACATAATCATCAAATCCTGTAAAAATTGTGGAGATGGGTTCTTGAATTGTACATCATTACAATAAAAACTTTATTGGAGCACATGTTGCAGTAGAATACAGCTAACTAAGAATTGTAAGTGTAAATTCTAGCAATGTTCATCCTGACATATTTTTAACCTTAACATACAATCATTTATATAATTTATATCAACATAAATCAATCTTCTACACAATCCAGTTTAATTAAATCATATGTTTGTCTCTCAGATACTGAAATCACTCAGATACAGTAGATTCACTGGAGAAATTAACCTGTGACTTGTTTTATTGACAGTAAATATAACTTAACCTTAAATTTCATGATAAAAAGGTGCTGTTTGCACTGTGTTCCCTTAACTAAAAAGAGACTGATATAAAAAAAATACTGAACCAAAAATGTACATCTTATACAAAGTAGTTGGGCATGTATTTTACATGATAACTACAAAAACTAGAAATTTATTAACGAGTTACACTTCAACAACATAACAATTATTAACATAAAAAAGTAATAAATACAAAACGTTCAAGTTAAAAAATAAAGATCATACACTTATTAACATTATTACATACTGAGAGATATAGATATGGAGACACTTTTAAGGATTCCACTACTCGTCTACTTTTGAGTATATTCATTATATAAAAACAAGGCTTGGCATTAACATACTGGTTTTTATCTTGCTTATGTTCAAATCTTAACTATTATTCTTTGGCAAAAATTGTATCAAAAGACTTTTGTTTAATTTCTGTTTTTAGTACTAGTCACATCAATAATAAAGAGCTGCGCCATGAGCACATGATACGCCTGTCGCCAACTAGACAGTTTTCAACAATTTTTCAACTAATAAAGTTCCAAAACTCTGTAATGTCAAATCAGAAATTTATAAAAAATAAAAGGGAGCTTATTTCAATAGATATAAACAAGTCACCAAAGTTTCATGAAAACTGCTGAAAGAGATTTTGAGTTTTTGTGCGAAATTCTGGAAAATCCCCCAATTTTTATGAATAAAGTCCCAATACTCCAAAACCTAAAATCAGAATTTTTAAAAAATCGAAAGGGAATTTATATAAATATATATAAACAATTCACCAAAGTTTCATGAAAGTTGTTCAAAGCTTTTTTGAAATATAGTCAGAAAACTGGAAAATCTCGCATTTTTTATGAATAAAATCCCATAACTCTGAAACGTAAAAATCTAGAATGTATAAAAAAAATCGAAAGGGTGCTTACCAGGGCTTCCAAAACGGTCATATATTCCGGACTTGACCGAAACTTTCATAAAAAGACCGGCTGCTCTCAGCCTCAAACGGTCAAATAGAATTGGTGTGCCACATTTTGTTATTCAAGGCATTTTCATGAAACGGTCATTCCAATTTTTACCAACTATCGATCAATAAAAATGTCCGTTTGGGGCTTTGGGCATGTCCGTTTGGGCATTTTAGTTTATAATTGTGGCAATCTATTTCACAAAGATATTTTGGTCATAATTGGGTAAAATAAAACAGAAGCAGCATATTTCAGATACTTTGAAGTGTCTCAGTTAGTCTAATCCTCTGGGTACATAAATGTACGGCTTGGTCTTCAGCTTGTGTACATCAATAAAAAGTAGAAAAAACACGTTTTCTTTTATTTAAATAACAACAAGCTGTCAAACAATTATCCCTTCAATAAGTTATATTGAAGCCATAAATCATTCACTGATTACAGGTTTGTTACCTTTGATGAGGTGTCCTTAGCTTGTCTTTATCAATAGAATTAATGATGCATAACAATGTACATAAAGGTAATCAGGTAAACGAGGTCAAACATGTAAGCGTGTATGGAACAACATCCTATTTAATTACGCTTTATAGATATTATTTTAAATGAGCATTGAGTTTAAAAAAGTATCCTGATATTTAAAAGTTATTCTTCAAATAAGGATATTTATAAATGAATAAGTATGATATATATTATTTTATTTAACACTGTACATCGTGTTAAATACTGGGGTACTCTCAAGGGGAAAATTTACTAAAATATATAGGAAAAACACCGAGAATAGCTTCGCTTGGGTATACCAAGCTGAGTTGTCCAATAAATAAGGGGGGCGTTCTCTATTCTTGTTTTCATATTAAAAACTGTTTATAATTAAAATCATAAAGAATAATATCCAATCATGACAATCTCCAACTGTTATAAAGACTTTGTCTCAAATTGAACTTTACAAATCTGCGATCATGGGCAAACGTAAACGTGACGATTCCGATCAAAATTCGAAATCGTACAAAGATAAATGTTATCACTGTTCAGTAGATTTTACACCGTTTAAAACAATATCCTTCATTGGGCCTCCTCAATGTTATCTATAAATACCACATCAGTTGTAAAAGTCACGTGGTCAGGTAATCAATACACAAAAAGAAAAGTATCACGTGTATTGATGATCAAGTTGTACTGCAATTAAAGCCAACATCAACAGTTTCAAATAAGATGGCCTTAATTTACAAAGTGTTACTAGTACTCACAGAGAGAAGATAGATTATATAAACAGAAACAAAAACATGAGAACAGTCAGGTACTGAAGCTGATTGATGCAATGATGGTTACTGTATTACGATACACAGAAAAATGACACAATACCGAGGATAATATTTTATTTTTTTTTAGAATGAAGAAAACAAAACAGTTATAAATAATTTTATTGCATATAACACTACTAATTATTTTTACACATATATCAATTTATGCATCCTCTCAGTTACATTTAAGTATCCAGCTGATCATTGACCGTCAAAAATATTTCTTTGAAAAATGTCCGGCTGTCGTCAGGAAATTTTGGAAGCCCTGGTGCTTACGTCAGTAGATATAAACAATTCACCAAAGTTTCATGAAAATTGGTGAAAGTGTTTTTGGGTTATTATCCAACATGTTGACGACGGACGAACGGACGGACAGACAGATGGACAACGGTATACCATAATACTTCCTGTATATGGACTTATAAAAACAAAACAATTTTTATAAGACTACTTAAGTATCCCATAAAAAATAACATATATGTAGATGTCTCAAGTTTTTACAATAAAAGGTACTCAGGTGTAAATGTCAATGAGAAAGCAATCAAGGAAACAGAAAATTTGACACACAGGTAAACATAAGGTCTTCAACTATAGACAAACTGTCTATACAATTGATAAAGGCAGAATAACACATCCAAGATTTCAAATATCAAAAATATTAAACAAGTTATTGAACAATACACTTATTATCAATTATCACTTTTATTCAGTCACAAGTTAAATATTTCTTTTGACATTTAAATTATCGCATTTGTAATTCTTTTTATTACATTGACTTTTTAAAGGAAATTAAAGTAGAAGATACAAAGAACTATATCTTTTCTAGGCATTCTCACATTGTTTTGATGCAAAGTAATTGTTGTATGACGTGAGAGGATAGAAGTATCACTTTTTCCACATGTAAATTATCAGTTTGTTATTTACTTGGTATTTGTGGTATTTCATTGTAACCAATATTATGTTTCTTATTTTTTTCATTTAAACTGTCTTTTAACAATAGTTTACTGTCATATAACTCTTATCATAGATACATGCCTTACTAGCTATGTAGCAAAAAAGAGTTCAGTAATAACATGTATATAACAATAGCTACAATGACATAGCGGTACCCTAATACAACTGTATTTAAAAAAAATATAAATTCAAAATACCTTTTGACAATAACACTATTTTACACTATTCAGACCATGTCCTTTTTCTGTTACACAGAATGCAAAATATCAGTTTGCAATGAAAAATAAATACATTTATTGTTTTCAAAAAACTCTGTAAGTTGCTTCTATATCAAAATTGTCAAGCTCTACATAGTTGGCATCCAAGTCTCTCCGTCTGTTAATTCTTCTGCTTGCTGCATACCAGGTGTAACAGATCCTCTGGTCAGACCAAAGAATTTCTGTGGTGTCAGATTTTTTGTTGTTGCTGTAAATTTCCAACCCATATGATTTGTACATCTTCTGCAGTAAGCTATAGTCCAGGCATAACTGAAAAAGCAGAAAACATTTTTTTATTCAACTTTGAACATCAATTTTGGCTTGGGAATTATGTAACTGAACCCCAAATAAACAGTACAAATTAAAATAAAATGCTATACAGAATTCTTAAAACTCTAATTGATCTGACAGAAATTTGTAGATTGACTTGGTAAATGTTTCTCCATAAACAACATGAAAATGAAACACAAATATGTACCAAAAACAGTTATATTTATGATTCAAGATTTTACTAATTGTTTATGTTGTACAGAATGATAAATCAAATTAGTATGTGTTGCAATGGAAAAATGTTAAATTTTTTTTAATTGGACAAAGATGCTGAAATGGTCATCAGGTCATATAAGCTAGTCATGACATAAATGACTTGTAACTTTTTCCAGTGCTATAAGCCCGTGTTTTCAGAGGGTGGTAAGTTTTGTGTAATTAACATGTTTACTATATTTATTTCAAGTGCGAATGCTGTTATGGCAAATGTGCTTTGTGTAAATAGGTAGGAACGACTGTTCAAAAATTATTTTCTGTCATTGATAGAAGCACACTTTTATTTTACATTCTTCTCTGCTACATGCCCCTTTATACAACCCATTTTAACATGCACGTGACATGGCAAGAAATGATAAAACTATGATAGATGTATAAATGATTTATTTCAAATGCCAATCTACAAGTAAATTATTATCTATCATACTCTTAGAAATATAACTTAAATAAGGATGCAGAACCACTAAACATGTATTTTTTCCAATTTTGGTGAACTTTAAAATAAAATTTGACAAAAATTGTCCAGACCCTTGATCTTCAATGGTTATATTAGTTGGAAAATTAAAACTGATTATCTTCACTTTGTAGAAGCTATCAAAATACACATGATAATGGGCCTGAAAAACTTAAAATAATAAAAGATCTACAATTTATAGTTATCAAGCATATTGCAATTCATAATATTACCCTGGAAACCAGCTGTGTTCTTTTGTAGGTCTTCCCATCAAATTGATATTTTGACTTTTATAAACAGTTAAAGTTTCATGAACATGTCCATGTGGATTCACATATGCACCAAGCGGACCTTCTAATGAAAGACTGAAGACATCATTTGTTAACGCCACATGAGTTTTACATTCTCTACAGCATATCACAGAACACTAAAATAAATAATTCAATAAACAGTAACTAGAAAGAAAAGTCAGATATATAAAATAGGCAACTGTTGAAATAATTTATTCAGATTAAAACAATCTTAATCCAAAACATGCAAAACCGTAAATCCTAGAAATTTATGACCATGTAACCAGATGTCTGTTTTCGTTGTATTGTTGAGATTCTCTATAAATAAGGTACATTTTATTCATACAAATAATGTAAGACGTAATTACCAAAAGATTTTTTTAGCTCCTTGGAGCATCTAGTTGGTTGTTTTTATTGTATTGTTAGGTTATAGTCTGATTAAGTTATATCCTACCATATAACTGGGTTTTTTTTAATCGCCCTGAACATGCATGAAATATTTGCCACTGGACGTTGAGCAACCAACAATCAATCAATAAATCTTTTTTTAAACAAATCATAAACCAGAATGTCTTTTTATGATTCTTATGTAAGTAAAAAAATGTTCATATCCTCAAGGCTATAAATTTGAGCACGAAAAAGACAGGACTTTGAATATGAATGAAAGACTAATGAAAATATTTGGTTTTGTCTTTGTCTATTAACTATTTTCTCTGACCATGCTGACATTACATCATGATCTTTGAAACAACCTCTTGTGGTGTGTGCCAATATATTATCAACTTACGTTTAGGCATTCAAAAGTTCTTAGTCAAAACATTTTTGTTAAGTATGTTTGAATATGAAATTATATAGAACTTTACTTTGCTTATAAAATATCAAACCTTATGATACAGCCTTTGGTGATAGGCAACAATCATACAATTGATCCTTTCTGTCATAAAAAAAAGTCTTGAATGACAGTTGGTCTTACAAAAACAGGTTTTTTTTCTAATTTGACTTTCACTACCAGGGATAAAAAAGTTGTTTTGCAAAAGATGGTCTGTCAAGACAGGTTCTAGCCTATACATTTAAAGACCTTTTTCACAAACATTTTAATTGATTGTATCTCAGGATAAGGGAATATTTTTGTCTTGTCAACTATTTTTGGACCTGGAATGATATTTTAAGTGGTTGAATAGGCAAAAGGCAATAGCAAAAGTAAATGTTTTATTTGCTTACTATTCCTTAAGAATCTCAAGTGGCAGTCATGTAAATAATCAAAGAGCTGATAGCTCTGAGGTGGAAGAAGATGCATAAAAGGTAACTTGAATTACCATGAAAGCAGCCCACTCCAACCCAGCCTGCTCTGTCCCATTATTGCTTTCAAGTATTTTTTTCTTCCAAAAATAATATTCTTTAATAATTCTCATGTCTCAACTAAAACTGACTATACTGAACATAAAAATCTAATAAAATGCTTCGCTGGGGCGCAGCTTGATACGACCGCAGAGGTCGAACCCTGAACAGTTGGGGCAAGTATGGACACAACATTCAAGCTTGATACAGCTCTGAATTTGGATTGTTATTAAATATTTGACACAGCATAGGTTTCTGACACAGAAAGAATGTGGTCTAAGAACTTGAATTTTTTTAATTTACCTATTATGGTCCAATGTCCAAAATCAAAATACATGGTTAGATTCAGCATATCAAAGAACCCCATATATTCAATTTTTGTTAAAATCAAACAAAGTTTAATTTTGGACCCCAACTTGGACAAACTTGAAAACTGGGCCCATAATCAAAAATCTAAACACATGTTTAGATTCAGCATATCAAAGAACCCCAAGAATTCAATTTTTGTTAAAATCAAACTAAGTTTAATTTTGGACCCTTTGGATCTCAATGAAGACCAATTTAAAAATCGGGAGCCAAATTAAAAATCTAAAAACACGGTTAGATTTGGCATATCAAAGAACCCCAATAATTCAATTTTTGATGAAATCAAACAAAGTTTAATTTTGGACCCTTTTGACCTCAATATGAACCAATTTGATAGCGGGGCCCACAAATAAAAAATCTAAATACATGGTTAGATTCAGCATATCAAAGAACCTCATATATTCAATTTTTGTTGAAATCAAACAAAGTTTAATTTTGGACCCCAATTTGAACCAACTTGAAAACTGGGCCCATAATCAAAAATCTAAATACATGTTTAGATTCAGCATATCAAAGAACCCCATATATTCAATTTTTGTTGAAATCAAACAAAGTTTAAATACTGGACCCTATCTTGGACCAACTTGAAAACTGGGCCCATAATCAAAAATCTAAACACATGTTTAGATTCAGCATATCAAAGAACCCCAAGAATTCAATTTTTGTTAAAATCAAACTTAGTTTAATTTTGGACCCTTTGGACCTTAATGTAGACCAATTTAAAAAACAGGACCCAAAATTAAAAATCTAAATACACGGTTAGATTTGGAATATCAAAGAACCCCAATAATTCAATTTTAGATGAAATCAAACAAAGTTTAATTTTGGACCCTTTTGACCTTAATATGAACCAATTTGATAACGGGGTCCACAAATAAAAAATCTAAATACATGGTTAGATTCAGCATATCAAAGAACCCCATATATTCAATTTTTGTTGAAATCAAACAAAGTTTAATTTTGGACCCCAATTTGGACCAACTTGAAAACTGGGCCAAAAATCAAAAATCTAAATACATGTTTAGATTCGGCATATCAAAGAACCTCATATATTAAATTTTTGCTAAAATCAAACAAAGTTTAATTTTGGACCCTTTGGACCTTAATGTAGACCAATTTGAAAACTGGACCCAAAATTAAAAATCTAAATACACTGTTAGATTTGGCATAACAAATAAATAAATGTGATCAAAGATTTTACAAATCTAATGCGCCATACTGTGCAATTAAAGATTACTTCTTGAAATTTTTCAATATTTGAAATTTGAAAAAAAAATAATATTTGAAGAATAATTCTTTTTAATTTCTGAAATCTGAAATGAGAAAAAATTGACCTCCCACAATTTCTTTTTATCCCCCCCCCCCTTTTTTCCCCAAAAAAATTCTTTCCCTCAAAATATGGTCATAATCTCAATTCAAATTTCCAATGGAGTTGGCAACCATATTTACCCATTTAAATTTACCATAGTGCTAACTTAATCTATTTTATAATAGAATAAAAAATATAGTGTCAAATCTTTCATATGGATTTTTTTGTAAAAAAAAAAGATGCAACATTTGCAGATATTTTTACTGGTCTTCCTTTATAAATATGCATTTCTTTAAACATAATTTAAAAGCAGTGTAAGGGAAGTAACCAAAACGTTGTATTTGGATTACCTCCCTTACACTGTATTAAATTATCTTTATTGTTCATTAACCATTACTTTATACATAATTTAAAAGCAGTGTAAGGGAGATAATTTCAATGATGTATTTGATTTATCTCCCTTACACTGCTTTAAATTATGTTTTGTACTTAAGTATTTGTCCATTAACCAGGACAACCTTGTTTTTCCCCCTTTTTTGCCCCTAATTCCTAAACGGTTTGAGCCATAACCCCCCAAAGCAAATCCTAACCATCCCTTTGTGGTATGGAAACTTGTAGTATAATTTCAGAGAGATCCATACACCGTTCCACAGTTATTGTCTGGAAACTAGAAAATGCTTATTTTTGGCCCCTAATTCCTTAACTGTTGGTACCATAACCCCCAAAATCAATCCCAACCTTCCTTTTGTGGTATTTAACCTTATGGTCAAATTTCAAAAAGATCCATTCACTTAAACTAAAGTTAGAGTGCGAAAACCAATGTGTCTTCGGACGACGACGACGCCGACGCCGGACGATGACGACGACGCCAACGTCATACCAATATACGACCACAAAATTTTTTTGCGGTCGTATAAAAATGCTGTTGATTCAAATTAAATTTTCTATAATTCCATACATTTGTCTCAGCATGGTAAACTTGATGCAAGCAATTATATATGTTACTGATTAGGTTTCACTTGGAAGTTTTTTTTGTCAAAGGTAGATAGTTCACTTTGAGTATTCCGAACTCCTTCCTATATAAAAAAAAAATGACCACCCTGATTTTAGTCAAGTGTGCTTAAAGTAGGGTTTAACATCAACCAGTTAATCATGAATTGTTATAGTTGTTCACAGTTACTTGTTTTTTTCATTATAAACATATATTGAAAAATGCTAAATATATCCAATGCATTTGTCTCAGGTAAGGGATTGGGTTTTGAGCACTTGTTAACATTTCAAACCCGTTCATTTTCTGTATGAACTTGACCCAAATCGGGAACCACTTATTTGCTGCTGTTAATCATATTTGTTTTTCATCTAAACTTTTTACACAAAAGTACGAGGGTAGGAATGCCCTTTTCCGTCAGGCGTCAAACGGTCATTTTCTGGAATGTTTCATGAAAAATAATACGATTGAAAGCAAGGAATTACTGGTTCCGTACTCGATAGGTCGTAAAGGGGGTACCTTCATGACGAATAACGGTAAAAAGCTGGACTATTTATTTGTTAAATCCCGTTTTTAATCACTTAAAACTTTGAAACGTAACGTCGTTAGGCAATAAAGGTACTCATTGGGGACATTCCCACAATGGCTGACATGAAAACTATGTACTTTCCAAATGGATTCCATCAACTGACATTTGTTCGTACATTGATATTTCTGTCAACTGACGGTGCATCGTTTGTAGTGTAAAACACCAGCAGATTAACATGTGCGCTTGACTCTTTATTATCGCAATAACATACTGAAATGTTCTAACTTTCGTTTTAAAAAACGCATGTTTTCTAAAACCAGAATATGACTTGATTGCGTTAAAGATCTGAACACAGACGGAACAACTAAATCCGTGTATTTTTGTCAAGCATCATTGAGTTGAATCGTACTCTCCGCGTAGATACTTAAAATTAACATAAGATGCATTTCTGTATGAATTAATGAAAATTCTGTTTATCATTAATATGAAACTTTCGGATGCACAATTAAATTTCCCATTTGTGCACATGCGCAGATACTTAACCAACGTGGTTTGGATTAACCGAATAATACAGTTGTTTTATTCTGATCACTCCAAAGAGAAAAGGCAGTGGATGGAGGGCGCTGAACCATTCCAGCTAGTTTCAGATTATAATTAAATTAACGCATGCGTACTACCAAACTCCTTTGAAAACATCCGGTTACAAGTAAATAAATAACGTACATGTATGACGAGATGAAATCTTATAATTAACATAAATAAAAAGGTAGATATTAAAACATTAAAACATGAGAAATCATAACACTAACGATAGTGATTGTTTTTTTCAAGCCTAGCTGTACATTTGTTTTATAAAATGATGCAGATGCTATTTTACAAACTTGAAACCGATCATGTGTAAACATCGGTGTCAAGATATGGCACGGAAGTTTTGAAATTGTAAAGCACAGAAAGGGATACGGCAACACTCCTGGTGACGGTTCAATGATTTCACAGCCAGCAGTATAGGATTTCAGAAGACTTCAAAGTCTTCTTCCACCAAAAATTATGTCCCTGATACCGTAATCGACTTTGTAAAGTCCGCATTATTACATTGTCCGCACCAATCGTAAAAGTTGTATTTGATATTATCCAGATAAAGGAAAAGAATGTGTAAATCGCAAACAAATACAATAAGAGTGATTGGAAAATCTGTACTTAATAGGTATCACTAAAGAATACAACTTTGAAACTAAAACAGTTCGGTTCTTTAGAGAAATACTGCGATATATTTATCACATAAATTTTGAAGGACCTTTAGCTAAAATTAAACACATGCAGCAGTATGAAACACTTAAACTGATGAATAACCAATTACATTTTGTAGTTTAGCTGGTTCCCAACTAACTTCTTTACTTTTTTTGTAACATTGTTAACAAGTGAATTCCAGTTTAAGTTATGCAATTGCTACAAGAATATGAGAAACAAGAAATGATTGTAACAGGATGCTGTTACGAAGTCTCCCAAACGAAGCTCCCATAATTCGTTATTCCCAGGGTCGCCTGACATTGGGCAACGTCTAGTGAAAATTGGTTTGGTCCAGTAAAGTTATATGCATTAGTGATGCCTGGGGAATAACCTTGTATATCATTCAAATCATCTTGGCATGACAAACCAGAATATATATAGTTTAGGGGTGGGGATCTCGACCATTTACAAGATACTAGAACATTGGGGGTGGGGAGGAACCCCTGGGGACTGGCCCTATACGTCATTCAAATGTTCATTACATGACGAACAGGAATATATATGGTTTAGGGGTGGGGATCTCAACCATTTACAAGATATTAGAACATTGGGGGTGGGGGGAACCCCTGGGGACTGACTGTATACGTCATTCAAATGTTCGAGACATGACAAATAGGAATATATATGGTTTAGGGGTGGGGATCTCAACCATTTACAAGATATTAGAACTTTCTCAAATGGCAGGGGGTCGGGATGACCCCTGGGGACTAACCCTGTATATCATTCAAACCATCTTCGCATGACAAACCAGAATATATATGGTTTAGGGGTGGGGATCTTGACCACTTAGAAGATATTAGAACTTTCTTAAATGGCAGGGGGTGGGGGTGACCCCTGGGGACTAACCCTGTATTTCATTTGATGTGCTTTATCATGACAAACCAGAATATATATGGTTTAGGGGTGGGGATCTCGACCATTTACAAGATATTAGAACTTTCTCAAATGGCAGGGGGTTGGGATGACCCCTGGGGACTAACCCTGTATATCATTCAAACCATCTTAGCATGACAAACCAGAATATATATGGTTTAGGGGTGGGGATCTTGACCACTTACAAGGTATTAGAACTTTCTTAAATGGCAGGGGGTGGGGGTGACCCCTGGGGACTAACCCTGTATTTCATTTAATGGGCTTTATCATTTAGAACATTTTCAATTAAAAAGATTGTGTCTATCACAAACGGTTTTCAATTTATAATCATTTGAAAATTTTTAAAAATTAAATCCCATAGGGTTCTATAGTAAAACCCTCTTTTCTTTTTGCCCCTCAAAGTACCCCTTTATAAACCCCATTGCAAAAACAAAACCCTGATTGCACCACTAGACATGTTAGTCTAACATATTGTGAAACCCTAAGTTAATCTGACAAGCGGTTTTGGAGAACGGGTGCGGACAAGTTCAAATTTAAAAGCGGCGGAAGAAGAAGAAGAAGAAGAAGAATAATAATAATAATAATAAGAACTGAGCAAAAACAATAAGTCTTCCCAAACTTCGTTTGGGAGACTTAATTAGTAAAGAAGCATTTGATTTTGATACATATCAGTTAATATTGGATTTTTAAATAAAAATTGCATATCAATATGGATTAGGCAAATTATTAGTTTAAAAAATATATAAAATAAGGGTGCCCTCTACAATTTAAATAACAAACATGGCGGACGTAAACAAACATTGCGGAATTAAGTTTTTCTTCTATTTCATGCTTATAATACTCTATAATCCATACCCCTGACTGGCACTCTTAATTTCAGAGAGAAAAAACGGCAGACAATACACAACTGAATTTGACATATAGAAAGTTATAACTGTGCAACTCTTATAATATGCATATATATATAACTCAGTAAGACCAGTAGATAATAGACTTTTTTATTGATCAAATTAAGAGGATTCCTTTTTTATACATAATAATCACCCCTACTTTTTACTACCACTACTAAATTTTCAGAAAGCTTGGATCAGATTACAGATTAGTTACTATTCAGACTTTTATGGAAGGAAACTGACTATCACACCTACCTTTTCCATTATACTTAAAGCACATCTTAACCTCTGTACAGCACTATCTAAACTGAGTAAATTTAATCTCTGGCTGTCGTCTAATGGAAGGTTTTGACACACCCAATATGACAGCTCTATAGGATCATTTGTTAATTTATCTGCTTGTAAAGTTTCATTCCATTTATTAAGTTTTTGTTTCATTCTTTGCACTACAGATTCCTGTAATTAAAACAAGAACACTAACTTTCATTTTTCACTTTTTCATGACATAAATGTCATATACACATAAAATCATGAGCTACACTTTACAATGATTCTTTAGACCAGTTGATTTACTCGTTAGTCATAGTGATTAAGAAATTGACCAGTGTAGATTGAAAGCCTTCATAGAACCACGAAAATGAGTCAAAGACATCAGACATATGAAAACTTATTAACATCAGTATACAAGATATAATAATCTAAGTCTTCATTAAACATTAATCATCCTGTTTTGGTCCTTGCCTGATTAGCTTTATAGCTACCAATACGAGTATTAAGTAAGGAGATGTGGAAAGATTGTTAATGAGACAAATTTTAAACAGAATCCAAATGACGGATTTAAGCAAATATAGCTCACTGTACAGCCTTCAACAATGATCAAAAACCCAAACTATATAGTCAGCTATAAAAGGCCCCAACATGCATGACAAAATGTGAAACAATTCAACTTGTGAGAAAAATTTGACAAAACTTTCTGATATTCATGTCTGTGCATGCATCAAGCTATATCATGTATATCAGGGACCGAATTCTTATAATCATAACCCACTCTAATATTGTGGGGGCTATATTCAGTCAGGAATATAACTATATAGGGTTATTAGAGAAAATATCTTGCATGTGTTATTACACAGATACTTTTACAAGTTGTCTACTTTTTATTCCTTAAATTATCTAAATCTGTATTTTAATTTTTAGGGGGCACTTGGGAATTCTTGAAACTTTGTGCAGAAACTAAATACATAGCCTTGATAACTAATTTTTGAATTAAATTAATACATTTTTCATCAACCATGGTAAATCAATGGGACAAGGCTTTCAAGGGATAAACTTAGCTGTAATAACAAGGCTTAGTTATTAAAGTCATGTAACTTATTATATGAGACACTTGGTAGTTGGGAATTTCTGGGAAGCTTGCCCAGAACCTCATTACATGCTCTGACCATTATTTCTTACAATAAATTAAAATACATTGTGATTAAGTATGATGTATCTGAGCAAAGGCGTTGAAGAGATGTAGAGAAGCTGTAATAACACATTTTAGTTATTACAGGCATATTTTTTCTGTAATAACATAGGTGTACTATCATGACTATGCATGATTGGCAAACTATGAACTGTTATATCTTTCTATAGTTTAGTATACATAAAGACAATAAAAATATCAATAGAACTTGTATACATTCTAACAAAACAAATGATGTATATTGGCCCTTTGAAACATTTAACATACATATTTTATCACAGTTCTTTGACTTTTCAGTCCTTAATAACAAATGTATGTTATTTTTCTCCAATAACCCTATAGAGTTATATCCTTGACTGATATTGCATTTAGTTCATTTTAAATTGATGTGAAAAAGTTAGAACTTTGTACATGTATTTTGCAAACATGAAGTAGATAAGTGACATAGCTGCAAATATGTCACACAGTAAAGTGTACCAATAATGAAATATCAAGAAGTTATGAATAGAAGTTAACAAAAGTGTGCCAACAAGTTCTTTTTAGTGCATCAATGCAAAGAACAAACAAATATTTGGGAAGTAGATTAAGTAACAGATCTAAAAGCATGTCATACATAGTAGCTTACCTATAAAAAATATGTGTACTTATCATAAGAAAACTCTTTGTTAGTTACTCAAAACGCTGATGAAAATGAAAAGATTTTTTTTTATACATCAATCATGTCAATGTGAAGATCCTACACCTATGCAGCAAATAGGTCAAAAAGGTAGATAAATAAAGGGATTTTATTATCTGTCACATAGTTTAACTTTAACCAATATGAAACTCATATAGGCAAACATATTACTACATTCCCTTTGTAACTACATTCTACTTACTGGATCATACATTTTATAGACCCAAGGTGGCCACCATGTGTAATATGCTGATGTGAACCTATTTATCTGAAAAATAAGAGTACATATAATGTAAATCAAATATGTGTATCAATAGTTACTATTGGAAGGCTATAAATTACTAAGCATCCAAAATATCGCTTTTATGGAAATGGGAACTAAAACCAGAAAACATACAGTGTCCATTGTGATAAAATTGAAGTCTTTTATATAAAAAAATATCAAAATGACTAACGAATAGTCAATACAAATACTTTATTAATCAATTATCGTCCCATAAAGGGCATGTTACATTCAATGATTACAAATAGACATAAGTAAAAAAAAAAAGACTTATGATAAATTAAAATTTAGTGATTTTCATGTAACTATTTATCATTCAGCAATAACAAAATGAGATTAGAATGTAACTGTCTTTGCTATACCTGTCTTTTATTTACAAATGATACACTGGCAATGACCTTGCCTTCCCTGTCTACAGCTGTCTGTTCTGTAGGATCCTGCTCTACAGGATTACAACAAAACTTGCAGTGTGACGGTGGTCTAGCTCCCTCTAAAAATTCTGGTAACATTCTTTCTTTCAGTATTTTAACTTTTGCCATTAAAATTCTGAGAAAAAAAGTTATTTACAATTAGTCAAAAACAAGAAAACTAAAAAAAGACAATGTGTGGGACAAAATTTTTAAGTTCAAATATCTAAGTGAAAATTTTGTATTATATCTAAATCAAGATGTCGATTTCTATTTAATTTATGTTAATATTGGTTGTTAAATAGGATTATACTTAATATATAGTACTCCCTTGTTGTATTGTCCCTCCTTACACTGCTAAACTCTTATATAACTGTTTTGTTTTTCTGTATGTTAAAATCCCCTCTTTATATTGCCATCCTTGAATATCCCCATCGCCAAAAGGTTTTATGTACAAATGTGACAAGAAAAACTTCCCTTCTTATTCATACCAAATCACTTGATTGCTTTCATAAAATATTAATTAAATGTTTGTAAAAACAACTGTTTATGAGAAAAGTCAAAGTTTGACCCATTGATGGGAACATATTATGTTTACCTTTAAACTTATAATTAAAACTTAACAGTCACTATTCATAATACAAGTTAGTTAAAAAAAACGTCTATGCCAAAATAAAAACCAAATATGTTTAGACAACCATGAATAACTTTTAAGTTGTTCATGATTTTGTCCACTTTGGCAATGTATCCTGTATGATATGAGGGCAATGATGTTTTAATGAATCATATGGATGATCTTAAAATTGGTCCCAAAATGTACAGGACATACAGTGAATTATTCTTTATATTCAGTCAGGTATATCTGAGGATGACCTAAAATTCATTTGGATACCTACAATAAATTTCCACGTTAATTATATATAAGCTGCCAAACCCTCATATTACCACAACTGCTTTACTGACAAAGCTTTTAATTTTAATTTGATTCAAAAACAGTACATTTTGAAACTGGTCACATCCAAGTCAAGCTTTAAACCAAAGATATTACTAGTTTGAAATGAAGCACAAATTATAGCAATACACTTGATACATTCTGCACTAGTAATGCGGTCCTTGTTTTGACTCTCTATTGGCATAGATATATAGATATACCGTTATTTACTTTACCCTGTGTTAGTCCTTCTTGATTCCACAACTTTAAATCTCTGTCTTCCCTTTGCCATTAGACTGGCTGAAGACAGTCCTGTCTGGTCATCTGTCTCATCTTTATATGAAAATATCTCAGCAGTTGTACCTATGTTTGCAGTAGTTGGTGACCCTTCTTCATTTTCTAGGAACCTGAAGTTAAAGAAGTATCACACTTAGTATGTACTGGCAAAACCTCAAAGTATAAGTCATGTGGATAGCAAGTGTACAATACTGTGTTATACAAGAGATGCTTCCTAAAAATTTGGTAACATATTTCATATATACAAATTTTCAAAAATTTCCTTCGTAGTTATTCCTTAACTTGTATCTTTAAAAGCAGTAGTATTTTTAAATTTGTCATGCTAATATTCACATAAGTTAACCAAATGAACACCTGGCATATAATTAATAAGGCTGTTATTTTTTGGGAGAGAGTGATTTTTAACAATAACGATGTGCCCACCAGATTTTTAAATAGGCCTAATGTTTGTAATTCAATAGTTTAACTGTATAATTCGAATTCATAAACATAGTTTAAAAGATTGACTCTTTTAATGTGTTTTATGTTTTCCTAAAAACGTACCTATATTCATCTTCCTAGATAGATATACCACACTTTCTGCACTATATGTCTATCAGGAGGATAGGCCAAAATCAGGGACAAATCCTAGGATACGTCGAACCATTTGATAGGTCAATGGTCCAAAAATGAATCTACTGGTAGGTATAGGTAGATATAAGATCAGAAGGAAATGTATTTTATCATTTTTTGAATGTATATGTTATTGTATATGCCAAAAAAGTATCAAACACATTTTGTAATTTTGTTTTATTCTGAAAAGACGGCCATAATCTGAGCAGTTTGTATTTCCTTGTTAAACTGGTTTTGTCAAGAGGTCTGACCCACTTTAAAAAGCGATCTGTTGTCAAAATAAATTGTCATCAAACAGCTAATTAGGCTGAAAATAGTAAACTTACATACATGTAGTATGATTACATGATTAGTCATAGACTGTATTCAAATGATGCTCATCAAAACTTTAATTATATTTCATACACAGTGCATACCAAACTTGAATGCACTATGAAATCAAATAACATGAATAACAGAACATGTAAAAGGATTTTTCTAGTAGCATATTTACCTATATGCCACCACACCAAATGTTTTATCTGTATCCCTTACTTCTTTCATCATGGCAACTACATGTTGATGAAACAGAGTGAGTGGTATTGTTTGACCAGGAACCAGTACCATCCCTGGTAGCTTTATCAATGGCAGAGACACCAGTCCATCCTCATCATATATGGTTCTTCCACTGATATCTTCTAAGTCATCACCAAGATACTGAAAAGAAATTTAAGATATATCAAAAACCTTTAAAGATGGACATCTGACTTACTGATTGTGTACCATGCAGTGTAGGATCAAATGTTATGGGTTTTTTTTTACTTTTTTCATTAACAACCTACCAGAAGGCCTACACTCAACAGTGAGACTGTTTGCGGAAGATTCTGTTGTCTATTTGACCATTTCCTCAGACACTGACTGCCATAAACTCCATTAAGACCAGGACAAACTGGCAAAATGGAAAAACTTCGGAAAATGGAGTTCTTCCCTGAAAAATGCACCGTCCTCAGTCACGAAAAAGAAAAATCCAATCAAGTTGGACTACAAACTACACGGCCATACTCTGGAGCATGAAACATCTACTAAATACCTGGGCTGCACATCACAAATGATCTAGATTGGGGAAAACACATAAAAAAACATCACAGGAAAAGCCAGCCGAAGCCTTGGTTTCTTACATCTAAACCTCCACATCAGCTCAAAATCCATCAAAGAGCAGTAATATTGTAACGAAAACCGAGCGGTCGGGCCTTAGTGTTAAACTATAAATGTTTATCCCTTAGTGCGTTGCTATAAGAATGTGTTATGTTAGAATGAACGAGTATATAAAAAATAAAAGTTATATCTGGTGACTCTTCTTTGGTAGCGTGGTACTCTGGTATCGTGGTACTGTGTGGTACTCTGGTATTCTGAATACACACTGGTAAGGTTTGGTTCCTCTGGTAAGGTAATGACTCTGATATAAAAGGGTAGATTGGAGTACTAGTATAGGTTTTTGTTTGGTAAAACTCGATGTTTGTAAGAATAACAGACTTGTTAAATAAAAATCAACTTGTATTAACTTTAAGATGCATAAATAGCAACAATACATATAAATATTAAATAACTTAACAGTATTCTAGTCTAACAGATAAATACTTTATTAACCTCCTATCGGGAATAAAAGAAAATGGATAGCGGAAAAATATAGTTTGGTGATCGGCAAATGGTAAATCAAATTCAATGCCAAAAGATAAAGTTTCTCTCGAGAAGTTATTCTCTAAATGTAACTTGTAAAGAAATTAACAAACCCACATTATACGGACGTAGTCTCCTCGGACATTGTAATAGTGTTGGCTGTCTGGTTAACTACTTGGTCTGGTACATGGTATCTGTACGTATATCAAAATCGCTTGGACTTAACGTGTGTTACTTGCCCAGGGTAAAATTGTGCTGAAGACTTATCTGTATTCTCCGCCGTATTTATACTTAGGTAAACCAATTTACCGATTTGGTTTACCATTTACCATTTCGGAAAATACCTAAATTACCAAAACCGGAACTGGTGATTACCAAAATAGGCAATGACGTCATTGTACGTCATTTTAAGTACACAATGCACAGGTGTTCCTATGTAAAAACATAGGCAAGAATAATAAAAAGTTTTAGAGTTAACAATGTTTAAACATAGTTATACAAGAAATATGTAATAAGAAAAGTCAATTATCGGTAAGATACAACGTCATCACACAATTTTAGGGGAAACAAGTTGCAATTCAGGGGACCCACATTTCGTTACAATATGATAAATGAATTTGGATGGAAAAGTTTACACACAAGAAGAAAAGAAGCCCAACTCATCATGTGCTACAAAATAACAAATGACCTTATAGCCAAGGACAAGAGTAAATACCTACAAAAACCAACAAGAAGCTCCAATCAGACAGGACATCATACTTTCCTATTACAGCCAGTCACCAAGATTGTAGGAAATGGTCCTTCTTTGTAAACACTGTCAAGGATTTGAACAAACTGCCTCTAGATACGCAACAGCAAAGTCTCTCGAGATATTCAAGTCTCAAGTAACCAACAACTCTAATCAATCAACTCAACAATTTGTTTTTAACCAATTTTTAATCATGCACAACTTGCCAGAATATTCATCATGTTGAATGTGGGCAGTATTTTGGAAGAAGAAGACTGTAGTCTTTATCTGACTTACTGAGTGTGTACCAGGCAGTGTAGTATCAAATTTTATGGACTGTAGTCTTTATTTGACTTAGTGTGTACCAGGCAATGTAATATTGAACGTTATGGACTGTAGTCTTTATCTGACTTACTGAGTGTGTACCAGGCAGTGGAGTATCAAATGTTATGGACTGCAGTCTTTTATCTGACTTAATGAGTGTATTGTACCATGCAGTGTATTATCAAATGTTATGGACTGTAGTCTTTATTTGACTTACTGAGTGTGTTCCAGGCAGCGTAGTATCAAATGTTATGGACTGTAGTCTTTATCTGACTTACAGTGTGTGTACAGGCAGTGAAGTATCAAATGTAATGGACTGTATTCTTTACATGTATATGACCTACTCAGTGTGTACTAGGCAGTGTAGTATCAAATGTTATGGACTGAAAGCTTTATTTGACTTACTGAGTGTGTACCAAGCAGTGAAGTATCAAATGTTATGGACTAATCAAAGTCTATAGTCTTTATATGACTTACTGAGTGTGTACCAGACAATTTGTATCAAATGTTATGGACTGTAGTCTTTACATGACTTACTGGATGTGTACCAAACAGTGTTGTATCAAAAGTTATGAACTGTTGTCTTTATATGACTTACTGAGTGTGTACCAGGCAGTGAAGTATCAAATGTTATGGACTGTAGTCTTCTCCTAGTACTATCAGTATTTTCTCCATTACTATTGTCATCATCATCTTCCTTCTCTTCTTCAACATCTATGTGCTGCTCCTCTAAGTCATTATCATCATCATCATCACTGCTACTGCTGTCTACAAATTCAACATGTAAATTAGCGACATTTACATTTAATATATTTATGTACCTGTAGCTTTCAATGATGTCTTGGCTCCACTTTATTTTCCTATGGGTTGAAGACCTTTCAGTAATGTCTCTTTACTCTATTTTTAGTTTGGCATTTTAATATACATGATATAACAAAATTTCACCCACAGTCATTACAGTTATATTGTATATTTGTTTTCATGTCTTCCTCTTCCCTCAACACTGAGTATAGAAGAATATTAGAATAGTTCCCAATAACAACTGGGTTGGAATAATAACTACTAAAAGCATTAGTCGTGTGTGTTAGGTTACTTATCAATGTTCACAAAGTACTTTAAATTACATCCAATAGCAACAGCTGATATACAGTTACCTGACTTGCAAAAGGCATATCATATCATTATCAGTTAAACAGGTTTGTGAGTGTTTAAACACTCTTAACATTTGTAAGAAAACATAACAAAAAACATAAATAAATGATGTTTCGATTGCTACTTTTTACCAAGAAAAAATTGACACCACAAAGCAAAATCTTTACTTCACAATGTCCATGACACGTTTTTCACCAAATGACCCATGGTCAAATGCGGCAAATCATTTATAAAATTGAAATTAAAATCTCATGTATTCTAGTTAGTCGCATAAAAATATATCTGGATTACCACAATAAACATCAAAAATATAAGTTAAATTTCCTTAAAACCTATTTTTTTTAACCTAAGCATTAAATATAATAAGATTGAAAACTATTGTTGGTCAACTACATGTACATGTATGGTCAGTTCATATGTTTTCGTACGTCATATGAATTCGTACTATGCATGCTTTTTCAATGGAAATTGTGACGTCACAATGCATTCTTAATAGCACGAAAACCCATGAGACGGGGATACATGTAACATGTAACTCTGTCTCTGAAAATAAAATTGTTTACATTTTACAGTTTCTTGTTTACATGTACATATCTATTTTATACACTATTTTCATATTTAAAAGATATTTATTTGAGCATTACAGAAATTGTGGGTACGTATTTTTAGCAACATTTCTACTAGAAACAAAAACTAATGAAACCTTCATCGTCTTCTCCGTTGATTATAACATTAATCCCAAGAAGTGGCTGCACATCATCCGCCATGGTTTACTTTCATTTTCTACAAAACACTAGAAAGTTTCCGAAAATATCAAACCACATGACGATTTTGTCCAATCAAAACAAAATTCGTGTAAAATAGCACTTCCGTTGCTAATAATAAACCAATCTACAACATCCTGTCACTTTTGGTCAGAAGATTGACAGGTGAACCTCACTTAACTGTGTAATACGATAAACAGATTTAAAGACTCAAGAGGAAAGGTAAAAAGTTGTAAGAACTTTCCATTTTTTATCTTGCTCGGTATCTAAGCTTTCAGAAACAAACTTAACATTCTTAACATCATATTTTATTTTAACATTCATTGAATCATATCATATGCAGATATGTGATTTTGAAGAATGATGAAATTATACTTAAACGCTGAATCCAAATCATTAGGACATATTGCAAGATTATTTAATTATTTTCTTTACATGTACATAATTCCTATCAATTTGGGATGTGATAAAACAAAATAGAAATATACCCTTTAGCAAACATCATGTTATATATCTGGAAATTCTCTCATCTAAAGTAAATTTAAATACATGTAAAATTGAATTCTTACAGGTAAATAATGTACAGTTTTATAAACATATTTACTCTTTTGGGTTTATATCTTTTTTTGCTCTGAATATCCCTAGATTTAGGGAAGAATGACTTTTCAAGGCATGCAACAATGACTTTTTAATGATGACATCCAGGGTTCAACATTAACTTTTTCAGACAATATGTCCTCTTGGAGAAAGTGACCATGATATTTTAATTGTCCATAAAAAAAACCATTTGTCCAAATATTGTGCTTGCTGAAGAAATTTTAAACTTCCAATTTATGGGCATACATTCATCTAAATGCTATTAGAAAAGGAATTAAATATACTAGATTGCTGACTGTGTTTCACCAAACCACTTGAGCCACACTATTTCTCAAGTGACCTACATGTAGATTGTAAGAGCAAAGAAATCGACAACAATATAATTGACCAGTACAATGTATTTTTTAAATGCTTATAGTTTATAGAAAGGGAAAATACTGAAAATACATAAATTTGTTGATAAATTTATTGTCAGGCTGATTGATATCGTGATTTATTGATCAAAAGAAAATTAACTAAAACTAAATTCTGTATTTTTTACCAATTTTAACTTTAGATTTTACTTGCCCTGCAGCTTTTACATGTATTTGACCATTGGGCAGTCGTTAATATCCAACCCTGACATAATTTATTTGCGATGCAATATTTTGCGGGAACTTGTGTGACTTAGTAATGACAGACAAAGTTGCATACAAGTGTAAATACGTCTATTTAAAGAAACATTTGGATAAAGTACTATCTTGTATGATAATTTTTTGTAGGTGTTACATCAGATTATTATTACTTTACTTATGAAAATTATTTGGCCTTCCTCAGTTATGGTTCATTGACATTCACTTGAAATTTTGAGTAGTGTACATGTACATGGTTTACATATATTAAAGTGTTGTCATTTTAAATTTCAACTTTTGAATTGTATTACTAAAAATAAATACAGATTAGACTGATATATCTGTGTCAAAAGTTTACATGTTTATTTGAAACTATTTAGATTTTGTTTGTCATTGTTTGTGTATAATGAATATGAACTGAATGTAAACATGGGAAATGAGTATTGTTGTCAATTATGTACCGTTGGGAGCCCATAATTGGTTATAAATAATTTTATGCAATCTTTTATATACCTTTTCAGAAATTTCATTATGAAGTGTGATAACCTGGTTTTTCTGTCTGCTATATGCAGTGTATATGTGACTCATTTAGTACTGTGTGGAAAGGACTATTATGAAATTCTTGGTGTTAAGAAGAATGCAACTGATAAACAGATCAAAAGAGCGTTTCGTAAACTTGCTATAAAATACCACCCAGATAAAAACAAAGAGAAAGATGCTGAGGAAAAGTTTAGAGAAATTGCCAAAGGTACATTATAGAATTATCATTTTTTGGAAACTGAATATATAGTATGAAACTATGAACGTGAATGAAGACATACATGTATGTTTGAAACAGTACAAATGTTATACAATATATATACATGTACAATTGATGTATATTTGTATAAACATTTACATCTACATAGAATAATTAAATACACTGTATCATGGTACATTGTACTTTGTACCTGATGGATGGGTATATAAAAATGCATAAACATCTTGTGGGAACTGCACCCTTACAAAAGAGAGATGAAAGATACCAAAGGGACACCAAAACACACAAGTCGAAAATAAACTGACAAAGTCATGGCTAAAAAAGAAAAAGACCAACAGACAACAGTACACAAAACACAACATAGAAAACTAAAGACTGAGCAACATGAACCCCACCAAAAACAGGGGGGGGGGGGGGGGGGGGGGTGCTCTGGAAGGGTAAGCAGATCTTCCTCCACATGTGGCACAACATGTACAAGTACAAATATCAAATTAATTCCTTGCATGTACATTATATATGTGTTAGTTATTATTATTATTGGTGTGTCGTAATGTAAATTGCTGAAGGTAAAAGAAAATGGTTTATTAGACCTCACAATAGAATGAATTGATTAAACAAAATCATTGTCCTTTTGCATTTTATGACTCGACAGATTAGAAGAATCCCAAAATGTCAAAGATTTGGAACATTTTGAATAGGCCTTTAACTTTACAGTCAAAGATTTGGTATTATCTATATCTTCAAATAGGCCTTATAGTCAGATTTTGTATATCTTCAAATATGCATTAGAGTCAAAGATTTGGTATATCTTCAATTAGACCTTAGAGTCAAAGATTTGGTATATCTTCAAATAGGCCTTAGAGCATTGTAGAGTCAAAGATTTGGCATATCTTCAAATAGGCCTTAGAATCAAAGATTTGGTATATCTTCAAATAGACCTTAGAGTCAAAGATTTTGTATATCTTCAAATAGGCATTAGAGTCAAATATTTGGTATATCTTCAAGAAGACCTTAGAGTCAAAGATTTGGTACAATGTATATCTTCAAATAGGCCTTAGAGTCAAACATTTGGTATATCTTCAAATAGACCTTAGAGTCAAAGATTTTGTATATCTTCAAATAGGCATTAGAGTCAAAGATTTGGTATATCTTCAAGTAGACCTTAAAGTCAAAGATTTGGTATATCTTCAAATAGACCATAGAGTCAAAGATATTAAAATAAAATAAAATATAAATTATAGCTTACTGTTCAGTGTGAGCCAAGGCTCCGTGTTGAAGACAGTACTTTGACCTATAATGGTTTACTTTTATAAATTTTGACTTGGATGGAGAGTTGTCTTATTGGCACTCATACCACATCTTCATATATCTACTTAGAGTCAAGATTTGGTTTATCTTCAAATAGACCTTGGAGTCAAAAGATTTTATATATCTTTAAAAATGCTTTCTGTCCTGCACATTCATGTTTATCATTGTTTACTTACACAGTCATAAATGTCTAAAAAAAAAAATGTGTATACATTTTTTTAATTGTTAAGCAAACTAAAGCTTTGTTTACAAAAATGCAAAATAATGATGTTGAAAATTCTGATTACCATTAGTAGTTGTTAAAATCAATCAAAAAGTTCCTCTCAATCTGAACCATTGAATGAGTATTTAATGCTTAAATTATGCACAAAATTTTATTTCAAATAAATGTTAAGGTAACAGATTTGATGGTTTGCATCTCTTGTTTTAAGAGCTGTAGCCTTAACTGATGAAGTCAGCATGTCCTTTTTTCAGACTCACTAGCCCGGTATGAAACTACAAGTATATACATGGAGAATTATTAGTTCAAGGTTCATTTTTACTGCACACCAACATTTAAATAATATCCATGATATCAAAGGTGTCATTTTTGGGAACAGTTTAAATTTATGTTGTACTGAAAAACAGAACAATGACGGAGTACCAAATTTTTTTTTGAATGATGAAATGTTACAAATTCATCTTGGTTTTATGTTGAATGTTGAAAACTGACATAATGAGTAGTCTATTTTTATAACCTTTTGATCATGTTAGATCAGTGTTGATGCATTATCATTGTTCTACATGTATTCAATGTAAAAGCCGTAAATCAAGGTTACTTCAAAGTTGCACCTTTACATTTATGTAAATAGTTACCATGGTTAGAGAGCATGGCCATAAGTTTTAGTCACTTGTGATTTTTCACACATTAAAAAAAAATGTGTTTTTTTTTCAAAAAAGTATTGTGGGGTTATTTCTGGTTGAATTTTAATCAACTTGGTACCAATAGAAGCAAAATTGTTGCATTGTTTACATTTTTGTTCTGGAGCATTTTCATTTTCTGATGATATAAACACAAGCACATGTCTTATAATTTGTTTATGAAATTGCTATATATCATGTATATTTCAAACACATTAAATTGTTAGAAAATTTACAAAGAATTGCTTACAAAACTATGACCAAATAAACAAATATAATGCTGTAGAAAATTCTGTGTAGGTTTGTAAAAATCAAACAATAAATGCCTTTAAAAAGAAAGTTGTTTATATATAAACATGATAAAATATATAACAATAAAAGGTGTGTGACAGTACTTATGGTCATGCACTGTACTTGAAAATATTTATCCTTTATTTTCAAAACAAGAACATCTGTTGTTCTACTTTTCAGTAGGGCAACCATTAATCCAATAATAAACATTGTTATAATGCTTTCTAATGCCATGAATGTCATAAACAGTTTTATGATGACTTGTGTGTTCGTAAAAGGCTTCATTTACACTTCATTTAATTCCAACATGTCAGAGGATTTAGATATTTTCTTAAATATTATAGAATAATAATTTGATATTCACAAGGCATAAATCAACATGGTCATGTACAGGCTGTATTATGATTTTACATTATATGATCATGTACAATGTAAGTATACATGGAACACATATATATACAAAGAGATGTGGTATGAATCATAATGCCAATGACACAACTATCTCTTATCCACCATAGACCAAACAATGAGGATGTTAACAACTATAGGGCACTGTAAGATCTTCAACAATGAGTAAACCCCATGAATCAAATTCTCAGGTCTAGTTGAATATATTTCCATTGGTTTAATAAAAAAAAAAAGATGGTCTTTAATTGATGGTGAGACTCATCTTATTTTTTATCATTGAACAAACATATTTACATAATCATGAAAAATATCAGTTTTGCAATGATCCATGAACATGATGAAGTAGGTAAACAATCTGGAAAAATAAACAAAATGTACAACTTTAATTACATGTAAGGAGGGCAGGTATATGCAGGTAAAATATCTCATATAGTGTTGCATTTTACACATATATTTATATATATTCTAGCACTGTGTAAAAGTAAAATATAATTTGTTTGCTTAGGTTCATACTGCATGTAGAGGTGTCGTAAGGCTCAATAATGCTCTTTGTCTATTAAAATTAAGATACATGTATCGACTAAAACTTAAGTGGAGTTTACAATCATGACTATTGCTTTCTATTATAAATTATAGATTTCACTAATTAAAGGAATGTGGAGCTTTTCAATATTTCATATTATACTTTATTCTTATTCAGCATATGAAGTATTGTCAGATACAGACAAAAGAAAGAATTACGACAGGTTTGGTGACACTGAAGATGGAAATTCTGGACAAGGAGGAAATGGATTTGGTTTCGATTTCGATTTCAATGACTTTTTCAAAGGATTTGATCACGCTTTCAAAGATCATAAACAACACGAACAAGGACATCATGATGCTAATGATCATGATGGATTTACTTTCCATTTTGGACAAAATGGTGGAAGTTTTAATTTTGGTGATTTATTTGATGAGGACGATGATGATAGTAATGGTGAGGATAGCATTTTTAAGTTTGGTGGTTTTGACGATGATTTGTTCGGAGGAGGATTCCACAACATGTATGATGAAGAATCTAATGGTAGACATCAACACCATTTCCATACCCACAATAGAATGCACGACCATGTGCATCACACCCATCAAAAACACATGCACAATATGCACGATGCACACAGACCTAGACAAAATCAGCACAATACCCATACCATGCATACCATGAGATCTTCAGGTAAAATTTACCCACAGAGCTTTTAACCCTCTTTATTTTCACTATATTTTCTGCAATTTTTTACCGTTTATAATCTACAGTATCACAAATATTGGTTAGATTTACATTATTCCCTTTGTAAAAAATTTGGCAATCAAAGCTTCTTTAATCCTAGGATTTCAACAAAAATTAAAATATAGGTTTGGTATGGCAGTGTTTCCACAAATTTCATATAGCATTTGATTCCTGGTAAACAGAGAATTTTGAAATAGCATCTTTTTTATGTATAGGTATATATATATATGTATTCCCAAATTGATATTGATGTTAAAAATGTGAAAAAAATCTTAGTTTATGTTAATTTACATAATCACAAATTTTGAAAAACACTTGTTTTTGCTAGGATTTCATCAAAATTGATCTGTACATGCATGTACAAAATGTAGGTAGATAATGTTATTCCAAATTGATTATAGGAATCAACAATTATTTGTCAACTACCATTTACTACATATAAAATATAAAGTGCTTGGGTTTGAACACAACTTTATTGAGAATACATGAAATAATTTCTATGTCTCACATAAAAATGTGCTGACATGTCAGTTTTCTAGATTTAGATCAAAATATATTTTTTTATTTATTTTAACAGTAGAATTCAATTTAGTTTTACATCACTTTTTTTTTTAATTAAACAGACATTGTGTTTAGAAGACCAAAAATGAAATTTCTGTTTATTAATCTTTTTACCTCATTTGTATTTACTTTATATATTTATTTAATAGTACATAATCTTAATTTTTTTGTTTTTTTTCCAGGTGGTAGAACATGTAGAACAGTAACACAGAGAGTAGGAAATATGGTCACAACACATACAGAATGTTCCTAGTATACAAGGGAGATAATGATTAAAGGGGAGATTACCTCTGTTTTATCTGTGATAGGCTGACAGATGAACTGCAGCAACATTTCCTGAATAACCTGTAAATTGAATTGAAAAGACCATGTTCAGTTTTTATCTCGGTCTTCATGTGTTCAACTGTTATATATTTTTATCATTTGCAAACTTTATCAGGGATGTGGTTCACTGACAACATTATATGTGAGCATTTTACATAGAACAAAAAATTAAGTTGTTTCATAAAAAAAATTTGTTTCATGGATTATTGTGTTTAACAATGTTGAAGATTTTTTTTTATCAAATTTGTTGTTTTTCTAAGTTAAACATACATTACACTTTCTTCATTGCTTTGGGAAAAGGTGTTAAACTGTCTGTCTGTTTCCATAGGTTGGAAAGGAACTCATTCAAAAGTCACTTGAAGGTACATGTACTAAAGTATTTTCATCTTTTAATATTCAGTTGCTTTTTATTTGAACTATCAGTATTATTCAGACTAACTGAAATATGGTGTTCTGTGAATTCATCTTTGTTCAGATATCAGTCACTGCATGATGGGCATGTCAGCTCTATATATGTCAGTCAGGGAAACAACTTAAACAGGTGATTTTAAAATCACTTGTTTAAGGTAGATTTAAGGGGGTCTAAATTAAAATAGATAGAAAGTTTTAATACCTTTTGAAAATGTAGTTTTCAAAATGAAATTAAAGTATTGGTTGTAGAACGTTTTTCAATATTTTGAAAGTATATAGTAGTTATAGTATTTTTACAGATGTTCCTGTAATTTTCACCACATGAGAACACTAAAAGTTTGACCTATAACACTCCTTTTTATTGCATAATCCCAATATTGGAAGTAGAGAAATTCTTCTAAAATTTTGCAAAAGCATTTTAAAATGCAAAACTTCACATAAAAAATTGTAAAAAATGCAAAGTTGTTGAAAAAGGAGTACAGCATAAGCACACTAGGAGTTATTTCTTTAGTCAAAAAGACATGCTGATTCTTTTCCAAATTTTGTTTCTTTTAATATGTAACTTTTTTTTTTAATGTCCTATAAATGTATCTTAGAATTAAGAAATGCTTCTCAAGCTTGTGATTTAAAAATGACATGTTTCAGTAATTCCCCTGACTAACACATGTAAGAAATTAAGTAATGAAGTCAATAACCCATTTACAACTCTTCTACAAAATCACCAGAAGTAATGTTAAGTTAAGCTTGCTTGCCAGTAAAACATAAATTCTCATTGAAACTTTGGCACATTGATTGTATATAAAATAAGGAGATGTGGTATGATTGTTAATAAGAAAACTATCCACCAGAGATCAAATAAAGAAGTTGTTATAGTTTGCCTGATTAAATTTAGTATTTTCTACATTCTCTGTTACATGTACCATGCCGAAAGTTTAATATTAGATATTTCATTATTTTGTTATGATCAGTTAGAAAAATTTTCAAACAAAAATACATGGTTTTCCCCATCTATCTATTAACGTTGAATATCATATAAACATAATGATTGTTTAAAACACTTGCATGCCTTTTTACTGATTTATTATTCTGAAAAAAAAATGATGTTTTTAAAACACATTTAAAGACCCAGTAATCATATGTATGGTGGTTCAATTTTGTTTTGTTATAAATTAAATGTCATGTTAATCATTTATTATTGGATAATTATTTTTTGTTTTATCGATTGTTTGTGTACATGTATGATTGATTAATTGTCATTTGCTTAATGTAAAGTGGTAGGTTAATAATTAAATATATACGGTCTTAATATAACAATTGTTTGGAGAAAAAAAATAACAAGTGTGCATTATTTCTAGAATCAACTTTAAAAGCAAAAGTAAATGTTTGGAAAAATTGCATCATGAATTTTTATTATTATTTGCTATTTTAATTTCCTTCAATAGAAATTGATGGTAAATGAAATTTTACTTGTAACTTAAGAATGTTAAGCTTAGAGGGCAACAAGATTTTCTTAAACAAAAGCTTTGGCACATTATAATTTTGTAACTAGATTTTATGCAAGTACTACAAGAATAGCTGCCTACTTATGAAATTTTTAGATGGTTGTAATGCACCTTTATATTAAGCATGAATGTGAAATCAAACAAATATATCTGTACATCAGCAAGTATGTTTACCAAAAATATATTCAATATTAGTTATATATGAACACATAAGAATGTTTCACTAAATTCTTTGGCAATTTAACCCTTTCCGGACCCATTTTATAAAAAAATTTAATCAACTTGTGTTTGCCGATGATCTCAGAAGATGATTGGATGAGTTTTAGGTCATAACTTTTATCAGCTGACTGGATGAATCAAAATATGCTAACAGGTGTTAATGAAATTGACTACTTTGTGGAATGTGGAACGCACTCAAGGGGATTTTTGTTTATCAAAAATGAAAATTTATTTGATAATCATTAGAGAAACAGATTCTTACATAGTTACTCGTGGATTAACGGATTTATCAAATCTCGACAGTTAAATTATCAATTTTAAAGTCCTCCCTATTAGGCTCGGACTTTAAAATTTATGATTTAACTATCTCGATTGGATAAATCCGATTATCCACTGGTATCAATGTAAGAATCTATATTTCTATACCAGTGAATATTAAGTATTGTTGTAACTGCAGATAATGTTTTGCCAAGTTTAATTCTTTTGTTGCATTATTATGTATAGAAATGTTGATATTGTTAAAAATCCAATGTCTTTCATTTAAAATGTTGTCAGTAAATACAGCTATTTTTTGTATATCCGAACTGTGTTGTAGATTAGTTTGGAAATTCTAACTATCTTCCGACTGTAAAGGGGTTTATTTTCTCATAGTTTACATTTCACAATTTCTAGGACCAAAACCTATTCTCATGTGTTTTTTTTTCTCTCCATTTTCTTGTCCCTTCTCCAGATTCTCCCTATTGAGTGAATGTTTTTGTGATTTTTCTGAAATAATATGAAATGGAGGAATATCCCACTTTTAAAAGTCTTTACACTATTTATCTAACGGTCTGTCCATCAATCTGGGAAAATTGTGTATTGTAAACTAATCATTTGAAGAAATACTGCCCTGTTTTTACATTGATTTGAGACATATTATGTAATGCCTTAGGGCTGTTCCATACAAACATACATGCATATGGGACTCAGGAAAAAACTATGGGTGAGTGTCACCTATTTTATTATATAGTAAAAATGTAAGTGAAATTCTAAAAGTGTCTTTCCAATTTTTAAACTGCTTTCCGTGGGTTCCATGTATGTTTTAACGGAACAGCCCTTAATCTTTTTGAATAATGTAAACTATAAAAAAGCCCATAAAACCATACAAACTTAAATGATTGTTCAGTATTCTTTTTAATCAATTATTTTGTTTTTTACCAGGGAAAATGTATTGAAGAAACCATAAAGTAAACAGTTTGTTGATTTGTATTTACTGATAATATTTAAAAAAAATTTAATAAATCACTCAATCATATCATTGTAAAAAGATCAACATTCACCATTTTCATTTTAAAATGATGGTGCTGTTATTTTGTTGAAATAAAATTAAAGATATTACCTGTGTTTTTATTTTTCGATTATACCTTTAAAAAAATGAGGCTGAAATGTAGAGCAGACCCATATTGTATTGTAAGCTATAAAGCGCCTTTGAATAGCAAAATGTGAAGTAATGCAACAAGGACAAAAAAATTGAAGATAATGTAGTCCTTAAACATGAACATTCTTCATGTTAGATAAAATTAAAAACACATGAAGACTAAGTAAGTTTTTAAATTGTGTGCTTTTCCAATTTCATCAGTTTTTATACGACTGCATTTGCCGTCGTATATTGGTATGATGTTGGCATCGTCGTCCGAAGACACATTGGTTTTTGCACTCTAACTTTAGTTTAAGTGCATGGATCTCTATGAAATTTTACCATAACGTTCAATACCACAAAAGGAAGGTTGGGAATGATTTTGAGGGTTATGGTACCAACAGTTAAGGAATGAGAGGCCAAAAAGGGGCCAAAAATAAGCATTTTTGTAACTTCCAGACATTACTTGTGTGTTAGTGTATGGATCTCTCTGACATTGTACCATAAGGTTCCATATCACAAAGGGAATGCTGGGATTGATTATGGGGGTAATTGCCTCCAAATTTAGGGCCAAAAAAGGGGAAAAAAATAAGCATTTTTCTAGTTTCATGACAATAACTTGTGTGTTAGTGTATGGATCTTTTTGAAATTGTACTACAAGGTTCCATATCACAAAGGGAAAGCTGGGATTGATTTTGGGGGTAATTGCCTCAAAATTTTAGGAATTTGGGGCCAAAAAACAAGCATTTTTCTAGTTTCCAGACAATAACTTGTGTTCAAGTGTATGGATCTCTCTGAAATTGTACTGCAAGGTACCATACCACAAAAGGAAGGCTGTGATTCAGTTTGGGGGTGATGAATCATAAGGGGGCTCAAAAAATTTGGGGGGGGGGGGTTCCTATTTTTTCATTAAAATTTTCCATTTTAAATTGGTTATTTCTGATTTATATATAAAAGCAAATAATAATGATAATGTTTGAATAGGTAAATTAAAATTTTATTAAGTTCTTAGACCACATTCATTCTGTGTCAGAAACCTATGCTGTGTTAAATATTTAATTACAATCCAAATTCAGTGCTGTATCAAGCTTGAATGTTGTGTCCATACTTGCCCCAACTGTTCAGGGTTCGACCTCTGCGGTCATATCAAGCTGCGCCCAGTGGAGCATTTTATTTAAATTGTTACAAGTGTTTTCAGTCTGTGAAAGTGGCATAAATCAGACCTATGTATAGGTAAGGTTTTGGAAAATGATGCAGTCAATTTTACTATACCGCTGACCAGAAGTCATTTACTGCTTCCGAGTCGCTTTCCAAACACGGTTCCGTATTTTACATACTTATGTACTATACAGAATTTCATTCTTAACCTGTCCATATGTATATTGTTATTAAATGGTATTTTGAGCTTTCACGTTGGTATATTTTTCATATTTATACGAGCTTTCGCTTTTATGTGCATGTCTATACAATCCGTTAAAAAGTCAGAATATAAATAGATCCGTTTTGTTATGGTTTTGGATTTTTTACATACCAATGATAACCAATCGCTAGACAAAAGAGTTCTTGAAAGAATGTCAACCTTTCTTGTCAGTTGAACTTTAAAATCATTAAAAAAATAATAATCGGCATCATCTTGATAACCATACGAAAGATAATGCTCTTTATCAAGATTTATGAAGTTTTAAGAATCGAAAATTAGTAATACGGTTATACCCATGGGGTGCGTATGAATCTGACCGATGAAGGACAACCTGTTGACACAAAAAACTACCCGTACGTAAAATGTTCACGCCCATAAACAGCGCCACCTATATATTTTTCTTCGTGGTCTTTGAGAACGATGTTCTGTTCTGTTTGAAATTAAAACATTAAATTAACTTAAACATAAAATAGTAAGTGTAGAAAACAAATTAAAAGATGTATTTTTACATGACTGATTATGCATGACATGCTGACAATGTGCGCAATGTCCTTTAATCCAAGATTGAAAATAAGTTTGTTTCCTACATCTGCCTAAAGGGAGAGAATAATACGGCTTGAATAGTCATTTGGTATTTTTGATGCAGATTGCGATTTTTAACAAATTTTGCCAAAAATGCACCTTTGAAAATTAAGTTAGAATGCCTATATTCTAGTGTTAATGAACCGATAGTTGATTTAGAAATAGAGGCGAAAGATACCAAAGGGGCATTTAAATTTGTAAGTCGGAAAAAAAAACTAACAACGCTATGGCAAAAAAAGACAAACAACAGAATACAAAACACAACATTGAAAAGTATTAAATTCTGTGCAACACGAACTCCACCAAAAAGCGGGGGTGATCTCAGGTGCTCCGGAAGGGTAAGCAGATCCTACGCCACATGTGACATCCGTCGTGTTTCTCATTATAGTACAAAACCAATGATAAGTTTAATTCAATAGGTTACATTTGGGGAAAAGGAGATCGGGATTGTGGTAACAACGATTGGAACATATCATGTTTGTAGTTGAAAATTGTGGTTTGCAATATCATTCCTTAACATGAAAATTGTTTTGAAACTTTTTATTGGAGTATATTTGGGTATATTGGGGTAAAAAGTCATATTGTGATCGTAAGCGGCTGACATGAACAGAACAAGTTACGAGGAAAAAAGTAATTTAAAATTACATATATTTATAAAATTAAGAATTATTTTTGATAAAATAACATTAAAGTGCATAAAATAACATTATTATTCAATCAAATTATGTTGAAACTGTTTTTTGGGGTAAAAAGTCACGCCAGGTTGTAATTGGTTTGGTATAAGTAAAAGAAATAATAGGTACAGTCTGGTCTTTAGAGTAGGAAGGAATTTTTGAATGAACTGATTTATTATGAAGGATATTGCCCAAGTTGATGGCATCGAGACCTGTTTCACAAAGGAAAGTTTCAGAAAAGAACTTTTCATCTTTTCCAATGCGAACTGGTTTGAAAAGTCTGTGATGTAAGTTTGTATTGGTTTGAATGGGGATTTGTAACAGAAGATATAAATATAAGTTGTACAGAGAATGAAGATTTGAAAGGGGTGGTGCGAATATGATGAATGCCCAACGTTTTTTGTATAAATGGCAGAAGGTCATTGATAGAGACGCCATGGCGAGTAGGTGATGTATAGTGACGATGACCATGATTGCGTCTACGTAGAGGAGTAGAGTTGGAAATTTTCATCACATTCACCGAGCTACAAGAAGGATTAGCTATTAGAATACATATAGCATCAATTTTGTCATTGCAACCATATGGTGTCGCGGTTCTCAATTCCAGACCCGATTCTAGAACTTGACATATTGTATAGACACCTGTCGAATAATCCCAATTCCAGACAAGAATCTATAGAACTTGACACATCGTTTAGACACTTGTTGAGTAATGTATGTTGCCTTCTAGATGTCTTTGGTTATCTGTGTACTTGTCTTGCAGTTTCATTGATGTATTGTCGATAAAGCATTGTTTTGAACAGTCTCGGTGGTCTCGTGGTAGCGTGCTCGACTCCGAGTGCAGGACGTTTCATTCAAGCCGCATAAAAACCAACGATAGAAAAATTGGTGTTTGCTGCTTCTAATTCCGTTGATAAGAAAGTGGCATATATGAATAAGAACACGTACAGACTAGGCGGCTCAGAGTCTGAATAATATGTCCGGGTATAAGGTGACAGGTCTTTCTACGAACTCTTACCTTGTGAACTGTGCTAGTTAAAAATACGGCTCAGAGCGTAGGTTTAGTACAAAGCAGGGTTCATATCACATAAACAGGTTCTCGTCTTGATATGATGTATTATTTTCCACTGAACATTTAACACTTAACCGTCACCATTACTTCATATTGCAGAAAGAAAATACAAGAAATGAATGGTTGTATCTAAAATATTAAACAGACTATGTTACACATTTCCAATTATTATGTGAAGATACATATCATGATCTGTTGAACTGTCCATGCAATATTTTTGGTATTTCATGTTAGTTACCCTTTTAATGTTTTATACGGCCATTAATTACTTAAAATTATTCATCATAAGTGATTAATGTTCAAAATCTTCAAGTCATCGATTTTTCTAAATCATCATTCTCAAAAAAGGAACATAAAATAACATAATGTTTTTGAGTTATTTTTTGGTAGAATTACAATCCTTATAAATATGATTATATATTCCATCGCTGTTATGAAAAGAATTGTCCGTCTTGTTACACTGTGACTTGAACAAGATGAATCTATTAATAGCTGTTGTTCAATTGATTTCAGAATAATAATGTTAACATGCCTTACACTCGGTTAAACTACCGATTTATTAGTTGATTACTGGTACTTGCATCATTTTCAATGTTCAGATGAATACATCTTCTCAAAAGAATTTACCACTTTTTCAAATCTAATCCTTTCAGTGAACCAATTTTAAAATTCTTTACGAATAAAGGAGATGGTTATGTCGAGTTCAAAATTGTCCACTTTGAGTCTGTATAAAGTATAAAGTTGTGTATGATTCAAACCGATACTTTCTAATCTACGGTCAACCAGAGACATATATACATGTATATATATGTCTCTGGGTCAACTCAAAGTTATAAAAATAACTAAACACGTGAAGATATCACATAAGACCACCACTGCCAAGTTTCCAGACTTGCTAGCAGTAACTGAAAGCCAGCTTAAATGCCTTATCGGCCGATAAATTTCCAAGCCGTCGTGCACTCTAATAAAGGTGGCTGTACCGTACTGTGACATAAGATTTAATGGGGTCAGACCTGTAATCCGACAGTCCCATAATCCTATAGTCCGACAGTCTTATAACCCGACAATATGTAGTCCGACAGTGCTATAATCCGACAGCCCGATAGTCCGACTCGCGGTCACGTATCTCTAAAAAAAATACGCCTATATAGACATGTAATGTTTGTAAACTGGTATATTTTTTCACCGTGACATAAAATTATCAAATCAGTCAGTATGACGTCTTGCACAT